GCGGACTTTTGGCACAATTCTGTTGTTTATACCGACGTTAACCCTGTCTGTGCACACGGCGACCAACTCTGTCGTCCAGTGATCTAAGCCTCTGCCTCCTGGAAAGCTTCACAGGTCCGTCGGTTATGTCCTGCGCGGCTCACCCAGCTCCAGTTCAATCAGTCATAGAAAGATTTTTTGCAGGGAGCGAAACGGCAACGTAGCTGCTTAATGTCTTTGGGTTTTTTGACATGCCTAGTAGTTTACTCCATTGAGTGTTGACAAGAAACACGTGTAGACGAAATATGTGTTTTGTTTTGATGTTTTGAGGTACGCAAAGGCGCGTAGTGACACAAGTGACGTTACGCAATTCAGATTTGTGCCGCGCATGCGTACCTGCGTACCAGTTATGTGCACCCCTGATTATATTTATATATGTGACCTTTCTAGATAATATGTTTGCATCAAGTAGCATTTTACTGTTGTAGACTAATACAGTTCTGATTGACTTTTCTGAAAATATTTTAATAATTTGACTTAAAAAGTTAGTCTACTAGTTTAATTTTTAGAGATGCATTGTTAAAAGTACCTAAAGCTGTTAAATAAATGTAGTGGAGTAAAATTACAGTATTTACCTCTTAAATGTATTTGAGAGTAGCATGAAATGGAAATACTCAAGTAAAGTACCTCAAAATTGTACTTAAGTACAGTTCCTAAGTAATTGTACTTGGTTACTTCCCACCTCTGCTCTACAGAGCCTGAGCTTGTCATCTTGAGATGTTCTCTCTGTTCTCCAGATCACTCAGATCGGCCTCAGTCTGTTTCAGATCATCAGCTCGGTGGTGTTCAGATCCAAAGGCCTGATTTTTGATTTCCCTGGTGACATACCGGTCATCATCTTATCTCTACTGGTAAGCATATCCAGAACTTTGAATATTCATTCCTCATTAGCAGAACAAAAGATGGAGCAGTTATTATTTATTTATTATTCTATTTATCTTTGTCGTGGCTTGTTCATGACTGTAAATGTATTTGAAGTGATTTTACAAAATATTTTTGTTGCGTTAGTTGTCTTTTGTAAAGCCCATTGAATTCCACCATGTTGTTTTACATTTTCTATGTGTAGGGGGGCCTAAGGTGCCAATTATAACACTGCCGCAGAGTGATTAAAGGTTAGCGTGCTCACATGATTCCTGTTCTGTTCACAGGTGTTAATAGCTGGGAGTTTGACCGTAGCAGCACAGAACCTGCATCTCCCAACGGTGAGTTACCGGCTGGAGGGTGGACACTAATATCTCTCAAATCTCACAGGATCACCAATTATATATGAGCCACATAATAACTAGTCCCAAATACAAATATCCAGGCGTACTTGCTTTTAATATACAATGGAACATGTCAAAATGTCTTGTCATAGGAATTTAGGACTAGTTTGCACTTTTATACAATCCACAAAAACAGAACTGATCAGTCACTTCCTCTATAGGAGCAGTTTGATTTGTCAGCCATTTTGCTCCTTCAACTGGTTGCACGCAGTGGAAGAAGGAACCATTTATTAAAGGATCAGTGCAGGGAAGCTAAACACCAGAGTGGCTGTGACTTAAAGGGGATGTATAATGAAAATTTTCTGGTTCATACTTACAGTTTATTTTGGGTTTCTAGTAGAACATTATTTTTCTCACGTCTGGAACACTCTGTTTTAGCACCTGTCTCTTTAAGATAGGTCTGTATTCTACTGGCCTGCAAGGGGAGTTATGTTACAGTTTAAGGATATGTTCTTACCTAAACATGCATTGAAAGGTGATTTTTTTTTTGTGGGATATTTCCACTTTAAGAGACTACGGATAAGAGTGAAGTGGGTAATCCCAGTTGTGGCAATTGAAAACGTTAGTACACCTAGTACATTGGACAGTGGATTGAACAGGATTTGCTTTGCTGTTTTCATTTCCTAATTTAAATATCAAGTAATTCTCTGTTATTTTATCACGTCTGTAAATATCTTCTAAAACAAAGCAAACAGGTGTCATTTAAAACAAATGTTGTGTCTTGTATCTCGTGCTCTTCAGCTGAGGGCGTGTTTGGGGATGCAGATCGTGGCTGTCCCCGCCTCCATCGCCAACATGATCTTCGCTCTGGTTAAAATGAATGATATCCCCTACATCTGCAGGCACTACTACTACTTTGACCAGAACTCCACCTCACTAGGAGAGCAATGCCATAACATAGAGGTGAGCTCTTATAAGATCCAGACTTTTAACTTAATACTTCATTTGAGTTGGATAATGACACTCCTGTAAGTGGAATGCTTGTTTTTATAACAACAAACATTCTGATCCCATTACAGAGCACGATTTCACACTTCTCTTCCGAGTGTGTGGTCATTAACGTTGCCCTGGTGACCATCTCCATCACTGTGGCCGCCTACTGCTGCAAGGTGACCAACTGCTGCTCGCCAGCCCCCAAAATGGTGAGTCAACAACTCTCTGAACCACTGGTTTCATCATGGAGGTCCTCTGTGTTTTAATACTACCTGAATACATACCAAACGACCAGAGAAATGAAGATGGAGGGCCAGCATGATCATGTTCGGACCCTCATAGGAGAGGAATAAATGTGTTCAGATACCTTTTAGAGAGGTAGAACAAAGCACAATGGTGTTTTAATTCCTTCAACATGTCTAGTCTTTGAAATACATGGTTCTAAAAATATATTTTACTGCAAAATTAGTTTTATTGGTCCATGTTTGTATAATTTCCCTTACAAATAAAAAGTAAAAAATGTAATCTTCTTTAAAAAGGATTGTGTCCACAAAAATGATCAGAATGTCACTAAATGAAGACTAGACATTCACAGGCATTGCACACATTCAAACAAAGATTTCTTCATTACCTTTGAAATATATACACTTAAACACACACAAGTTATAGGCCGAAATGGAGTAGGAAATTGAAAAACCACTAGATAAGTATATACTTTTCTGACATTATTAAAGTAAGGAGGCCAGTCACCAACAAATGTAATTTGTATACCAACTGTTACTTTTCCCTAAAAATAGGTTATTTTACTATTAAACTTCACCCTATGCTGTCCGCAGCCCGTAACAGTAACTAGTGCCCCCAAACAACAAGGGGGTCCTGTGGGTGTAGATGTGGAGGGAGGGGCACAACCCATAGATCAACAGATATAATATAACTATGTGTTATACAAGCATCCATTTCAAAAACGAGTACATTACTACAGTAGCTTTAAACGCAGCAGGTGTTAACATTTGTTCTTGTTTGTGTTTGCCCCCCTCAGCCGGTGATCACGGTGCAGGCCCCCCCCGCCCAGCTGTGAGGGGCAAACAGATGTTCAGCTACACACAAATGCTACAGAAAATGTAAAAGTGCACTAATCAACATTTTTGTATAACCAATGTATCAAATAACTATGTGAAATGTGAAAGGGGTTTGTTTGAGCAGCTTATGAGACAGTTATGTTTAAAGACTTGGTGAGACCAGACCAGAGCTAAAAGGAGAGCAGAACTCCAGCTGGACACAAACAACAACTGTTGATCTGTGTCTGATGGATGTGTTCTTCCATCATTGTCATAGCAACTATATAACCCGATAAAATGTAAAAGAACATTTGTTCACAGCTTGGAAAAAAAATAATGAATGCATCTTGAAAAATGTACTTTTTAAAGTATTAAATTACATTATCACGCTTCTGCACATTTTTCATTTCATCTCTAATAATACAATTCATCTCAGTCTATTTTGATCTTTAAAATGCTACAGTAATAACAACAATCAGAATACCTTTATTCATCCCAGAGGGGAAATGTGCATTTGTTACAGCAAGAAAAGAGCCAGACAGCTCAATATTACCCAAGAAGCATGCATTAAACAAATATTAAAGATACAAATGTTATTTTTAAGGGACAAATGCCTAAAATATATACAGAAAGATATTGAAGTGGAAGTAACTGGCTGATCTCTAGCAATAGGAGGGAATTACATACTAATGGGAAATGCTCAAATGTAGCATAAGTAGAGAAACGTCATGAAGTCGTAAACAGGTCTTCTAAAGTTAGCTAACATTAGCCACTATACGTCACTGCTCATACCAAGTAAGACTGTAGCAACAAACCCCTGAGTGTATTAAATTGATGTGTATTACTGCTTATTAACTACACTTTTTGATAAGAGAAGGACTGTGTTGTTTCTTCTTTAAGGTACAGTCATGCTCTAGCATGACACAGCCAGGTGAATAATACAAGACAAATAATGGGTGCTTACTATATAAGTACAATCACTAATCAATGCACATGAACGCTTTTCCTGAAAGTATTTTTATTCAGATTGTATGATTATAGCTACCTAGATAATGTTTGTCTTTTTTTACTGCTAACTAACATGAATGAATAATAAATACAAAAAGATGTAACGGAGGTTTGGCTGCTGTTCTTTCTTTGTGAAAGAGACATTTTGTATAGCGCGTAGTGTCAAAAGGCGGGACTGTCCCTTCCCTGTGTTATTACCATTAACAGGTCCTCTCCCCGATTCAAGGTACCTTCCCTTATTTGGACACAAAATGCAAAATCCCAAAGCTTTCCCCAGCTCATTTGAGAATTGGAAATGGTTATAGAGCCCACAACAATGCATTTAGAGATACACATTGCCTAGACATGTGACACTGATCAACAAAGACACGTATTTAAATTGAAATCTCTAGAAATGATCAGCACCCTTTAACATCTAACTAACATTACAACTTTATTAAAGGGGTCCTATTCTGCTCAATATCAGCTTCATATCAGTATTTAGTGTCTCTACTGTAACATGTCTCCATGCTTTAGTGTGTGTGAGAGAAACTCCCTCTGAAGGGAACTCAGGGAGTTTAGCCTCTGCAGACCATTGACATGCACAGAAAGCTATAGAACACACTACAGGAGAGGGAACACCCCAACAACATAACAGGGCCTGTATATTTACTATAACTGCATAACCACAATCACTTTCAATCAACAGACCAGTATCTTTAGTTTCAACTTGTCCCGCTTTATTACTTACTAAATAATGTTTTAGGTCAAATCCTTTGTCACACAATGCATTCAAACTTGAATTTTTTCCACAAATACTGAATACATTAAAAATACATGGTACCTTTATATACAATTGGACATGGCAGGATCCTGGAGAGATTAGAATCTGTGCACATTGATACATGATTCTCTATGATCACAGTTCATTAAGAAGGAAGTGTTCAGACGTCGGGCTCCACTCCCTTATATTTGCAGTTCATCGGCCCAGTGGCTCTGCGGGAGATCAGGACAAATTAGTAAAGCAAAATCTACATTCACTTGGATATATATTACATTACATGACATGTCACTTGTTAGACGCTTTTATCCAAAGCGACTTACATACTCTATACCGTGGGCAATCCCCACAGGAGCAATTTGGGGTGAAGTGTCTCAGGGACACAACGACATGCTGACTGCAGTGGGGTTTGAACCTGTGACCCCCTGATCCGAACACCTACACACAACCCACTGCGCCACACGCCTCCCTATAATATATCAATTCTTAAAATGGTTCTTTAGCTATGGTTTATAGTACAGAAGGTGACTGTGAAGATCATTTGCTTTGGTTTAAAATCTTAAAACAGCCATTTTAATATACAATTTGTTTAAAGAATTATAGCTAAAGGTACAAACAGAAGACATGCCAGTATCTGATACACTGAGCATTTAACGAGGAGTCACCATTCACCTGGGAAAGGGACGGGGTGAAGTCCTCCAGGTCTCCCAAGCAGCGGTGTTTGTGGCGGATGAGACTCCCCCAGAGCACAGAGCTCTGACAGGCCGGACATCTGCCCTCCACCGGCAGGAGGTGGGTGGGCTCCGACTTCAGGAAATGTTTAGCGAGGCAGATCACATGACCGCTCATCCCACAGGAGGGGTGGAAACAGCTCAGCTTTTCTGACACCTGAACAAAAACACAAAGATGTCTCGGTTCATGTAACTGCTTACAAACAACGGATTGTACTGCAATAAAGTCTGACTTGTATTTCACAATTCAAAATTCCAGAACATGATTCTAACTGTTAGTCAGTGATCCAGGTAAAGCCATGGAGAATGTAAACGTTTTCAACTGTACGCCAAAACAACGATTGCATATGTTATTAAGTGAGCTTTGATATAGTAATTTGTGCTGTTTTTGTATTGTAATATCTTTGTGTTTTTGCCGTTTCTTTTATACAGGTTGTCTGTATTCATATTACCATGCTAACGTTAGCCTATCAGCACGCTAATAAGCCAACATGGTACCCATTACTTGCACTGGCCCTGCTCCTCCTGCAGACTCTTCCCTGCCTAATCATTTTCAATTGTGAGTGCAGAGACCAGAACCAGAGCCTGAGCTAACCCACACCCAGACCTACTGAGAGGATGGATACACTGTTTATCTATGATTCACAACCAATATCAAGGTTTGGGATGTTTTAAAAAATGTTGTACTTCATTACCTCACAATGGAAGAATCTGGTAAATGTAAAAAATAACCATGAAATCAGAAACCAAGTTCATATCTTTGATGAAAGATGCGAAAAAGGGTAAGTCACTTTTATAATGACCAGGTGGTAAGATGTGACAATCAATGTAGTATAAGTATTAATGTTGTAACCATTATATAAGTTATGTAAGTGTTTCAAATAATTAAAAAAATGCAAATAAAACAAATGCTGTTCTAATTGTTTTAACAGTCTTTACCTTGACCAGCCCTTTACAGAGGAAACAGCTGGATGTCTCCTGCTGCTCCTCCTCCTCATCCTCCCCTGCAGGCTGCAGCTTCTTCTTGGCTCTGACGCTCCCGAAGGCGATGGGGACGTGGAGGGGGGGCTGCAGGCTGGGCTCAAAGTCCATCCTGTACTCCTGTCTGAGCCAGCGGGCCGTCAGCGGCAGCCTGCTCCAGGGGGGGGCCCGCAGCATGCTGGAGACCACCCGCCAGTGGAACTGCAGGCTGGACTCTTTCCTGGATCGCCGGGGCACGTGGGAGAGCCGCCTGGAGGAGTGGGGGTGCTGCCACGCCCACTCAAACTGCCACAGTTAACATAAAGATAACGTTACGGCAGCATGTAAACAAGGCATTGCATGCAATGTGAAAATGAAAAGGAGCACATTATAAACAGACACAAGCATAAAATATAAACTTCTCAAAATAGAAAATAAAAACAGAACTTTAAATAAAATATGTACATAGTAACGGTGGAAGATATACATCTGAAGACAGTCAAGTATACACTATGAAGGCCCAATTACATCACAGAAAATATAGAAGTAGGATATTATTAACATGGAGTGTTCATATTAAATTAAATATCAATGTACAATGTGAACTGTGAATACACCATATACAGATGGACGAATGATGTTTAATTGTAAAGGTGTACAGTTATCAAAGCAACATAAGAAACTATGGAGCTGTGAGCTCTCTGCCAGCCAGAGGGGATTTAATGATGAGTTGGAACTATTCATGGGTGAAAGAAAACTACAAACAGGTAATTTTTAATACTACCGTGAACTGAATTTAAGACCAAAAAAACTATAATAAATTGAATTTGAATCCAACAAAGAATAGAATACATGGGAGAAAAAGGACACCAGGATTTGGAAATTCCCTTGTTGTCCTTCCTGTTTGTGTTCACCTCGTCTGAAGGTTGGGCAAATTAGACTGACAAGAAATTGGCAGCAATTGAGGAGAAGAATGTTTCACTTGAGGAAACAACACAGAGTCATTGTGATGTACTCTGAAACCTACTGTGAAGAGATCAGATGTTTCAGAACGTGATACATTGATACACAGCAGACTGAAATCTCCAGTGTCAGTCTGCTGAGTGTTGGATGGCTATTCATTTCTGCTTTAGAACTTAATGAAACATCAGCAAATAAAGTTCTGTTCTCACATTCACTTCCTCATCACGAGCCAATGACGCTTGTTCTCTACTAGTGTCCCTTTAAATGCTGTTTCAGGGGCTTTTTATTCAGTCACTTCAATAAACAGACTTTGACTTACCCGAAGGGCAGCAATATCAGAGGGGAAGCCGTGTATTATCAGGACCATGTCCCTGTACACAGCAAGGAACATATGCAGAACATCAATAACAGTGGTGGAAAAAGATCCTCTACTTAAGTAAAAGTATGTATTTTAAGAATGTGGTATTCATTTAATACCACATACTTAAAATACTCCACTACAAGTATAAATCCTCAGGTGAAAATGTATTAAGTAAAAGTATTATCAGCTAAATGTACTCAAGTATCAAAAGTAAAAGTACTCAATGTGCAGAATGCCTCTTATAAATGTTTTGTGTTATTATAGATAATATTATATTATTGTGTTTTTATTCAAAATTAAATGTTTTTTAATGTTGTATTTCGGAAAGTACTGAGTAAATTACTAGTGCATATATATCATATAAACATTTATTTATGTTAACTACAAGTGTTAAATATATGTAGTGCAGTAGAAGTACAACATTTACCTCTGAAAGTAGAAGTATAAAGTAGCAGAAAATGGAAATACTCAAGCACCCCAAAATTCCATTACATGAATATATAATAATAACAATAATACGTTACATTCCACAGATCGATAATCGTGTAACCCTACAGGGAACATGATGTAGTATAGCAGTGTAACTCTCACCACGGTCCCCTCCCACTGGTCCTCTTCGCCCCCCCTCGGTGCCGTCCGGCGTTGTGCTGTCCTATTCTGCGCTCAGGGTTCACAGTGAAGCCAATGTAAATACGCCCTTTGAATTTAGGGTTGGTGCAGTACAGCATGTACACACCAAAGAAGTTTTCTACCTCCACAACCATCTTGGAACAGTGTAAGCAGCCACGTTCGCTGATATTGTTTTAGAGCACCCATGTAATGACCAAGCAGCATAACGTTAGCTGACTTGTGTACATTTTAGCTAGTAGAGCCATGAACAAAAAGTCAAAAAATAACCAATTGTAAACACTTTAGACAATTATGTTGTGGTAATACTTCCATTTTCACTGCATAATTATCTGAATAGCTTGAATTCAGATGCTTTAAAATGTTCATGCATAGTTTCGATGGTTACCCATAGAATACCTTTCAACAAATGAGAGTAGTGGACCTTAGCATGTAAACATTGCCCGTCTTAGTTGCCTACTGAACTGCCTGATAAACTATGTCTTAAAGGACTCACGGAAGCCTTCTGCAAGACCAATAAAAAGCTAATATAATAATGTGCAACCAAAAAATACTGTTTCATTTACAGTGTAATCAATGTATAGCATAGATTTCTGTTTATATTAATCTTGCTTAACGTTTAGTTTGTCTTTCTGTAAAGACACCTACAATTGTGTTATGCTCATGGATTCGCTACTTTAAAATATATGTCCCGCCCATAATGGAAACATACTGCATCTGATTGGCTATTAGTATATATTCTTCAGTACAGACACCCACACGTCGTTCACCCCATGGATATTTACCCTGTGACTGAATTTAGCGAAAACACTGTATAACACACGGCCTTTGGTAATGATACGCTTCTAAATTAAAACCTCAGTTCACAATTGTGATGTAATACTGTTTTGTTGGACGGTCGAAATGCTAAACTGAAGGATACCTTAACACTTCCGGTGTCATCATGTCCATGCCTCTGACTACACTCAGAGAGATCTATACACATGTATCCCCACTGCAGCGGTTGTACTAACGTTACAATTTACCTTTTATTTATACAGACATGGCTATTACAGCTGATCACATCCGGGATAAACTGACCAAGGAGCTCGCAGCAGTACACGTGGTATGTTTTTGCTTATTATTTTGTATTACACGTTAGCCCAGTCTTCTGTTGTCAGCAGAAACAACCTCAATTTAAGCATTATTCAGATGTAACATTATGTTGCCTGTATGCAAAGGTACACACCTGAAAAATGTCATAATTATTTACAGCAATAGCGTCTCACTACTATATTCCATAGTGCAGGTATTTAGCCATTTTGGTTTGTTAGAAAAAGAGAACTGGGATTTTTATTTAGGCCTGATTCCTTTCATTTCACAAGTACTATTTCAGTGAGTCTATGCTTGTCTTTGAAGTGAATGCCATGCTGTTGTACATCACTAACTATATGTTATAAACAACAAATAGAGAGCACCACTAAATTGAATGGAGTTTAGGTGGTGCTTAGCAGGCCTACTTTGCACAATTGTAAAGTATATATGACTAAATGTCTATATGTTCCTTGTAGTATATTTCTATATGCTTCTGGTGCTTAGTGAAATGGACTGTTGTATTCAAATTCAAGTGTATTATTCAGTATTTTCTGTATGGTGTATTATGTGAATATGTATACATTTGCTTATAAAGTTATTTTTGTATTATATTTGTATCTTCACTTATCTTTTAAAATGTTTAACTAATGTGTAATATCCATCTATCTATCTATCTATCTATCTATCTACCTATCTACCTATCTATCTATCTATCTTTCTTTCTTTCTTTCTTTCTTTCTTTCTTTCTTTCTTTCTTTCTTTCTTTCTTTCTTTCTTAGAGGAATCATTCAGACATAACTGCCCAGCTATATTTTGCATGTTGCAGGATAGAGCCTATCATCATCACTGCAGTAATTCAGTAGATAAATGTTGGCTGTAACTTTGTCTGGTCCACTGCAGGATGTGGAGGATACGTCCCCCAACAGATGTGCTGCCAGCTACAAAGTCCTGGTGGTCTCCTCCCAGTTTGAGGGGAAATCACTGCTCCAGAGACACAGGTATTACACACTGGAGTCACTGTCACACCATGCTCAGATCTTTGCTATCATTTCAGTTCAAAAGATGTCACAGGTAGGTGCAGGCAGCACTAAAGTCCGGACAGGATTAAAGATGTTGATTTGCAAAGAGAGAAACTTGACTGACAATCAAACATGTAGGTGCTGTCGTACCAGGTGACTCATAGAGGTGTATAACAACTGAAAGAGATGATGGACATAATGATTGACACAGAGGTAGAACCTCTATAACCTGAGCTGAAGGGGACAGACATGCTGGGCTTTCTATTAGTAGAAAGCTATACATGTGTCAGGGAATAACATATTTCACATCAGAAATATGATAGTAATCAATATAATTATACACATTTTTAACTCTGTGACAAAAAGCTTTTTTAATTTATTTTTTGTTTTTATAATCAGCTTGATCAAGACATTCTCTTTTGAGTATCTTTTTTGCGTATATCCATATACAATACCGTAAAATTGCCTATTTTATCAAAACAAATGTGTTAAGCTTGGTCCCTTTTTTTCAATGCACAATTTCTCAACTAATATCATTTCTATATGTATCTTTAACACTATACCACGGTAGATCCAATAGTTTAGATCTTAACACATAGTGTAGTGGTTGTAAGATTGATGTGAATCCTTGTTAGATCATTTCATAATGTGACACATATTTTTTCACAAGAAACTTAACCTTAATTTATTTAGAAATTAAATTGAACAATTATAGCTGCAACTATTGATTATTTATAATGATCAATTCATCTAATTACTATAGTATTTCCTAGATGAATAGTTTTGTTTAAAAAATGGCAGAAATTAGTAAAAAAAACGTCATCCAAATGTCTGAAAGTTTAAGGTGATGACTTAAATGTATTTTTCTGACGGTCCATTGCCCGTCAATATTCATTAAATGTGATATAAAACAGAGAAAGCAGGACATTTCCATATTTGAGTGGCTTTAAAAACGGTGCAGTTTTGCAACTTTTACAGAATCAAATCCAATTAGTTGCATCGTAATTATTATCTTATTATCATCCACTTATTTTTGTAGTGTTAGAAAGAGTACCTCCTAACCATTCAGCGCTCTACCACCCAAGATGTCCAGCGTCCCTTGGTCCAGACTCTAAACCTGTGTGTGTTTCCTCAGGCTGGTGAACACGTGCCTGGCCGAGGAGCTGAAAGAGATCCACGCTTTCGAACAGAAAACTCTCACACCGGAACAGTGGGAGAAACAGAAAGCACAATGACGCACACATCACATTCTCACACAGGCCTCTGATATTGTGATATTTAGAAAGAATACAAGCACTGTCTATAAATCGGTAATATTATTATAAATGCAATGAAATCTTCAGCTGACAATAAAACACTTGGCTGCTGTATTTTGTCTTGTTTTTTTTTAATGAAAGTCGCAGTTTCATTTGAAGCTCTTGAGAGGAAGCCAATTAATATTGCATTCAAAAAATATTCATCTTTGTCACTTAACAGAATGGGTGCACATTTCATGTTTCCCTCCAACAAATTAACATTTCAAATATAGACAAAGGATGCGCTATACTGAACGGATTAAATCAATTGGTATTTCCTATATTACTGGGCTATATAAGATATAAGGAGAACTGACTAGTAAGTGGAACATTTTTATATCTACAGATCACTATTTATGATATATAATTATGATATATAGTCTTACTGAGTTAGTAAGAGGCTATTTTTCATCTATATTCCCTGGACAGATGTTGTGAGTCACCCTTCTCTTCTTTAGAGCAGGGGTTCCCAACCCCCGGTCCGCGGACCGGTACCGGGCCGCGGAGGTGTTACTGCCGGGCCGCGAAATAGCTGTGAGTTTATCGTAATATTTGCAGAATTATAAATATATAAAAATATTTTATCATAATATTTTTTTCAAAAAGTGTTTAATTTTCGCACCTATGCCACCAGTCATATTATTTCATCCAGTAGCTAGTTAATCTTTCACCAGAAAACCGTTGAAAATGGCTTTTATGATGTTCCGAGGGATTCGGCTGCTCAGCCTAAGGTCTCAGCCTCTTGTGCGCACGAGCATGTTACCGGTGCGCCAAGTAGGAAGAGGAGCGCACAGGAGACAACCGTTTGATTGCAGACTGTTATGTTTATGTGGGGAAATGGTGGTGCATACATTATTTGAGATATATTTCAAACTCGGACTTCATTTTAAGGACATGTCGGCCAGGGGTGTAGAGCTATTTGTTTAAGCACTGGATTGGCAAAACAGTAGAGTAAACCAGTCTGCCTTGATCTATGAATTAATGTCCGGGACTCTCACGATCTGCTGCCCGCAGCTGTTTTATAGAAGGAAACCCTCCTTCATGAAATGGCTGCAGAATCAGGAGGCAGCGGGACGTAGGCCTATACTCGGTAAAGAGCTGTGCCTTTTTACGCACCGCCTTCGCTGTGTTTAACTTAATCAGAACAGTTTAAGAGTGACTGCAGGCTGCTACGTGTTAACCACACACACATCTACACACATCGAACTGCCCGATTACTCCCCCTTTTATTAGTTTTATGAAGGAGATGTCCAGTCAGTCACCAAGGCGCATGATGTGTGTGTGTATGTGCTCTGCTCAGCTCAGCTCTGTGTGTTCGGTGTGTTTGTGTCTGTCCGACACCGGCATATATGCGGCTGTTCCCAAAATAAATTAGTTTAATCTTAATCTCGATGCTTAATGCTGTCGGGAGTGCACCGGAATGAACGACATTTTCCCAGCATTCACTGGATTATCCGTAAATCATACAAACAAAACCAAAACGTTGATTTATCTGTTTTCCCGTTTTGGTTTAAAAACTGAATAACGTCGGTTTTTTGGTTTTCCGAAAAACCAAAAAACAACACCGGTTCTTTTTTAAACTTTGTTAATATGTTTTGGATGCATATTGTTCTAGTATTTGTTCAGGCTGTTACATACAATTAGCCTCTGTTGCTACCTGCTGGTGGTGAGTAAATATTAAAATCAGTTAAAATTGACAATCGGTCCGCGATTTTTTTTTAATGTATCTACCGGTCCTTGGCACAATAAAGGTTGGGAACCCCTGCTTTAGAGAACCCCTGATTTAGAGACTATACTAAAGCCATTATTAGCAGAATAGCCAACCACCAGGTGAAGGTTATGAAGGGTTATACACATTTAATTTAAAATATCAAGTAAATACAATTCTAGAAAACATGCTTACAATACTGGAAATGCTAATAAAAAACAATGATAAACCAAAAACCGGTTTCTATGAGATCCATCTAGCAGCCTAACAGCAGATGTCTGATCAGGTAAACAGTGAACAATGTGCATTGAGCATAAAGGAGATGGAAACATTGAAATACAACGTGGAGCATGATATGTATATTCCCTTCTGAACATGTATGAATAGTGTGTGCATGTGTGTGTTGAAGCCCAGTGAAGCCTCACACACATCACAGTGTCTCCATCAGGTGTTATTAAGAGTGTGGCCCCCCCGCTGTGTGTTTCCAGAGTCACACATTACAGCTCTGATCTATCTGTGGCTCTCACACACACATTCACTGTTTGTGTTCCTCTCTTCCGTGGATCAATACCAGAACATGATAGTCACATAATCATAAATACCACATCGAATCCAATATTGATTGGAAATTGACATTTATATACAATAGTTCAATAACTGTTCAACTACTCAGAGGTCAGTCAGGATACTGGCTGTGTGTGTGTGTGTGTGTGTGTGTGTGTGTGTGTGTGTGTGTGTGTGTGTGTGTGTGTGTGTGTGTGTGTGTGTGTGTGTGTGTGTGTGTGTGTGTGTGTGTGTGTGTTTGTGTGTGTGTGTATTTTGAGACTAAATGACTAAACGTGTATTCCAAATTAAATGGTTATGAAAGTGGAAACCTTTCAGTTGTTTCTTTCTCCTCAAACTCCATATTGTTTTCATAGTAAGTATTGATAGGTATCTTTTGGAAAAGGCGATCGTATCTCTCAATAGCCATATATCGCCATAGAGAAGGTGATCGGCTGTAATCTGCCATCCCTCCATGACCTGCACGCCTCCAGGACGATGATAGTGGCCGACCGCTCCCAACCTGGACACAAACTGTTCACCCCCCTCCCCTCTGGCAGGAGGCTGCGCTCCATCAGGACCAAAACCTCTCGCCACCTGAACAGTTTCTCCCCCTCCGCTACCGGCCTCTTAGGACGTAAAACAAGGCCCGGCCCCCCCACTGACACTTTACCTCAGCCACAACGCAGACTCTATACGCATTACATTAATGCACACAATGTTCAAATATTGTTCAAATATTGCTTACTGCACATATTTCATATGTTATATTCTATAATTCACTGCATTCTATTTCGCTGTAAATTACTGCTTTATTTTAATTGTATTGCTATCTATCTATATTTGTTTACAGTGTTGTTAATATAGTTCGCTATCTGTGTACTTTTTGGGGATTTCTTGTTTTATATTTTATGTCTGCACCACGACATCAAGTCAAATTCCTCGTACGTGTGAACCTACCTGGCAATAAACCCGTTTCTGATTCTGATTCTGATTCTGATTCTGATTCTGATATCACAAATGACACATTTATCTCAGGGGGCTTTAAGATCTGTACAGCATGCCATACCCTCCTCCATTAGACTCCTGCGACACACAAGGAAAAACTCCCACCCCCCCCAAACAGAAAGATGTTCAGCAGATGTCATGTGTACGGAATAAACAACGGTATAAAATGAGGACATAGACAATCTATTTGATAGAAATAATAATGTAAACACTTCAAACAGATACAACCACAAACGTCCTCCAGGTGAACATAAAGAGTGTCATTTCAACTGAGGTCTGTGCTCGTACTGATATGTTAATTTGGCTACTTTGTCAATAACTATTTTTATTGTACCATTATATTGCAAAACCCACTCAAAGGAGTTTGTCTGTATGGATAGAGTAACATTTGGGTCATCCTGTAAACATTTATCTTGTTCTGCTTCTGCAGAGAGAGCACGAAGCAGGTCCTCCTGTGTGATGGCAGGTATCAGCATATCATTTACCTCCCCTCAGCGGCTGGATGCTGATGTGATGTCCCCCCTCAGTGAGCAGCAGACAGGAGGATTACTTCCAGCACTCAGCCCCCCCCCAGGCCTGCTAATGGAAGAGCGCACATGGGGGAGAGAGTGTCTTTATTCACTGCTCAGCCTGGCTCTTTTCACGGTTGAGAATACGACATTAACCTTGTTATTTATATCATAGCTGTTTCCCCAAGAGAGTGGTGAAGTAACAAAAGAAGGGATGGAAAGAAATCACGTCCAAATAACCGTATTCTGTTTGGCTTTAGTTTCAATGAATCTAGTGCTTCTTTTGTCTTGCAATTAACCTCAGATGTATGCTAGTTGTTGGCAGTGGTGGATAACAAAGAACATTTACTCAAGTATAGTACTTAAGTACAATTTTGAGGTTGTACTGTTGAGTATTCTTAGTTGATGCTGTATACTTTATACTTCTGCTCCGCTACATTTTACAAGCCAATACTGTAATTTGTACTCCACTACAATTATTCATCAGCTTTTAGTTCGATTTACACTATTAGCATATACAAAATATAAATCAATTATTAAATAAACTTTGACATATAATTATAGGTTAAGGTATCCAGCAGCAGTATATGAAGTTATTCAAAATTGCACTTCATTTAACAATTGTGATAAAAATACATGAATAATCATAATTATAACCCAGTAACTCAGTATATATGATTCTGTAGTGGGCCATTACACATTTCTGGCTGTATTAAAAACCATTTGAGATAATCACTGTGTGAAACAAGGAGGAACACTGAGGGGTTACAGGCTTCACTGTGTGAACATTGGCTTTTTTAATGTCTTTTTTCAACAATAAACTTCAAATAGACATGTATAAATATTGATAGTGAAAGTTAATGGATTTCGTTTTTCTGTTTTCCAACTGAAAAATGTACGATGTGGAATGAACACTGTAGCTATGTACGTATGACCAATAAAAGCCTTGAACCTTGAACCTTGAATTGCTATAGATATGTGTAAAGTAACAGGAGAACACAACAAAACAGTATCTTATATCCAAATGGGTGCTCACTCAGCACCGCTAAGTCGTCTCAAACACAATGGAATCCATGGGATATATTTGACCAAAATAAAGAAATGTCCATATTTTCTAAATTAAATTTGCCAATGTGTCATATCGGGTTTTCTACACTGATTTAGAGTGATGGGACCCCTCGTTCTCTACAATAACGCTTTTATCCATTACACAATAAACAACTACATCCATCTTGGCATAATGTCAGTAAACACATTTCACCAGCATTTGCAGGGGTTTACACAAGCATGTTTTAAACCAGTTGTACAGGGTCAGATTGAAAGCAGTCTTTCTCAGATCCACAGAAGCAGAACGAGTCCCCTGCTGATCAGGGATCAGAGTGCAATAAATCAATAGACAGGCCTTGTGTGGTCGGACTTTTTCAATTAGACCGCTTGATTTCTCTGCAGGACTATTCCAGGCGCCCAGACACATGGTTCTTCTCATGGAGTGAATTTATAATGAGGTTCCATTAGGCGCACCACCAGCTGATCCTGGTCCAACACCTCCTGGAGGGGTTCTCTCAGGCTGGATCTCTGTGTTCAACGCCTCAGTCTAAACTAATCACACTGTCTGTTTTCTCATGGGAGGGAATTATTAGAAAGCTGTTTTGTTCCACCTCTTCCTTTTCTGTCTGCTACACTGATCATGTTAATATTGTAGTGACCAAAACTGATGTAAACCAAATACAAATGTATTACAGACTTAACTCTAAAATAGCTTTAAAGTTGTGGGTCTACATATCTACATTAATCCAGAAGTAAAAAAGCTTAAATGTAAAAAAACACAATTCTTTCGAGGGAATCCATACACACGTACCATACTTTTTAAAAATAAAAACATATCTATATTATGTGGTATACATTGTTGACCTTATTTTCTCTTCTTTACAGAAGTATAAATGGCAGAAATTACTATGAGTTTTATTGTTTTGCAATATTGGGGCAGATATGGCTCAGGGGTTAAATGGTTTTCTACCAGAGGGTCAGTGGTTCAATCCCCAGCCCCTTCACCCAACATGTCAGTATGTAGTGTCTCTACTTTGCAGACCATTTACATGCACACAAACCTATAGAACACACTACAGGAGAGGGGAAACCCCACAAAGCATAACCCCAAATGGCTCGCATCGGCATCACAGTGTTGTTTAAATGGTATGTCAGTCCATTTCGATAATAGCATGAACCAAAATGACATGTAAATAAAATGAAAACAGCTGTCACAACCGTCAAGATAAAGTGCTACATTTCACCTTCAGTCTCAGAACTAATCCCAGCCCCCCCTCCCCACACACACTGTGTATCACTGAGTCTCTGAAAGTTGTTCTCATTATCAAAGAAACTGTTCAAAAGAGTTTTAAACTGAAGTATCCCATATAAAACGTGTCTCTGTTGTCCTCCTGAAAGTGGTCATTACTGATTCTTGTTACTAATGTCCAACATGGCGTGCAGCTCCCCAGGGTCATATCCCAGCAGGCCTTGCAGGTTGCACACGAAGCGGTACACGTAGCGTTTGCCTGCCGTCTTGCGGATGATGTTCTTGTCGTAGTAGTACCGCAGACCTCGACTGAGCTTCTCATAGTTCATCTTGGGTTTGTTCTTCCTCTGACCCCACAGCAGGGCCACCTGGAGAAACATGTAATACTATTCATTTCATTAAGTAATTACATTTGTGACTTGAGTCTGAGTAGAGTCCAAGTCATGAGACCCAAGTCTGCATCTCTGTTAAATAGTATTTTGGACAGGCGATATGGTTGGAATCACAATATTAATAATGATAAATTCAGCTTTATATATATTACGATATATGTTGGTTTAAATTTGCAGTAAAAAAAAAGTTTGGAATATTATTTTATTAACAGAAAAACTCTAAAGGTATGTATAGCCTAGCTTAAAACTAAGGCTAAAAGCAGAGAGAAGTGTTAGCCTAGCTCAAAGGTGAACATACATGTTCCTCCTCTAGCAATACATGAACATCTGACAACCTGACCACAAGGTAGTGAGGTGTAGAGCAGCTGTTAGTAACAAATTGCTTACTACTGCCGCTATTCGGCAGTAGTAAGCAATAAGTATTCGGCAGTAGTAAGCAATTCTAAATAAATTCTAAATAAATAATTGTAGAGAGATTTTTTTTACATTTGACAAACCTGAACTATTGAACCTGAACATTTCCCCTGCTTCTTGTCTCATTGCAAATCTGAACTAATCATTGCGATCAGTGGTGGAAAGTATCAAAGTACATTAACTCAAGTACTGTACTTAAGTACAATTTTGAGGTACTTTTTATTCACTCGAGTATTTTCATGTTATGCTACTTTATACTTCACTGCATTCTGGAGGCAATTTCTTACTTTTACTCCATTACATTATTACTTCTTTTACAAAATGTAGTTACTAGCTACATTGCAGGTATGGATTTATAATACAGAATATAAATCATTATATATTATTATAGGTTAAGCTACCAAACAGTCCATTGACATTTAAATAATCCCCACCTTCACGAAGTGCAACATTGACATGAATGCATTAATAATTAAATACAAAAATGTTATATTTAAAAAAAAAGAAGTATATTTTGATGCCAATACTTTTGCACTTTTATTTAAGTACAATTTTGAATGCAAGACTTTTACTTGTAACAGAGTATTTCTACAATGCAGTATTGCTACTTTTACTTAAGTTTAAGATCTGGGTACTTCTTCCACCACTGCCTGTGATGTATTACATCCCATATTGCTAATCCCACAGATATGTGGTACCTCATCGGGGTCCGTCAGCTTGAACTCCCAGCCGTCTCCTGTCCAGCTGATACAGGCCTGACAGCTGCGGTCTGTCAGGAGCTCCAGCAGGAACTGCCACAGCTGAATGGGACCACTTCCTGTTGGAACACATAGATTAAAGACTGATAGTGATCCACATGAGAAACAAAAGATGTATTTCCTTCACGACTCACCAGTGTACCCAGCCAGGACAGCTGCTGGGATCACCGTTCGGCTCAGATCCGGTTTGCTGCCTATATATTCTTTGAAGCTCCTGTGTGGGTAGGGTAAGGTGAAGATGTCGTGATGCATGGTCTCCTCTGTCACTGACTCTATGTCCTGAAGGGGAGCAGCCCATAACAGAGAGCCCCCCACGTCAGAGTCATCACTGTGGGCGATCTCCACCTCTGAGTCTGTCTCTGCAGGCACACAACAGGAGGAACACGGGGAACACCTTTGATTTGACTATTAACATTTTAAATGGTGAAGGCACTAGCAATTGGGGGATGGAGGGCTCTCAGGACATGATAGGGAGGCGTGTGGCGCAGTGGATAAGTGCATTGGTGTTCGGATCAGGGGAGCACAGGTTCAAACCCCACTGCAGTCAGCATGTCGTTGTGTCTCTGAGACACTTCACCCCAAAGTGCTCCTGTGGGGATTGCCCACAGTATTGAGTATGTAAGCTTTGGATAAAAGCGTCTAACAAGTGACATGTAATGATTCAAAAAGCTTTTGGCGGCCATATTGAATAACAAACCAATGTGGTTTACTTGTTATCCACAGTTTAGCTGCTAAATGTTACCTTTACAAAGCTACGCTGAAAACACAGCAAAGTTCATATAACGGTATTAGGTTAGTTGAACCTAATATTTGTATAGTTAAACTCAACACTTTTCTTTGTGCTCCACATATCTAAATGTATAAAGTGTGTTTTCACCTCCGTTCCCTCCTGTTTGTTGCAGTATGGCAGCAGCGGTCAGGATGGGATCCTCTGTGATCAGATAGTAGTCCTGATGGTGTCCGCTGACCGGGCGCAGGGTGTGGAGCTGCCTACTCTCAGCGGGGGGGAACTGAACGTGGAAACTGTGTTTCTCTGAGGGATCCTCCATGTAGTCTGAGAAGCCTTCTGAGGAAACAAGGTCAAACTATTTAGGATAATACTATGACAAGGAACAATGTTTAGGCAGTGGTAATATTAGTATGTACACTAGCCAAAGGTTGCATTAGACATCTTTACATTATTACCTTTGTTGATTGGAAGCTGGCAGTAAGAGGGTATTGTGCAGGTGGGGGGTGAAGAACTGAAGTCAAACTCATTCTCTAGAATCAAAGAGATGTACAAGAAAACATTGTGTTGTATTCCAGCATCATTGACATGGACTGGAGAAATATGATAAAGAACATGTGTGTGTTTGTGCCGATACAGTCGATGCACGCAGACTGCCCAAACATTTGTGTTTGTGGTAACTCACAGTAATGCAACCACACAAACAGAGCTACAACTAACAATTATTTTCAGTATGGACTGAGTGTTGAATGTTTTAATTTGATATAGAACATTGATCATCTGGAAATCTCCATACGATTTTAGATGTATTTATTGATTATCAAAAGAAGTTGCCAATTTACTTTATTGATCCCAATTTGGGATTTTGTTCCCGCCACAGCAGCATGTTAACAAGGCATTACACATCATGTGGAAATGATAAAGAGTAGAAAAAAACAATAGTTAAAAAGATGTGAGGTTCAATAACATGTAGAATCATGACTTTGATTTATCAATAAGATTAAGGATTAAGATTAAGATTAACCTTTATTGTTGGAAATTCAGTTTTCCACTCTGTTTTATATACAGTATATTTGAATAAGCAAACAGTACAAACACAACATGCATTAGAATAAAGGTATTTGTGTTCGGTCTGATTGGGACTTGAACCGGCAACCCTCCGGCCGAGTCTCCACAGACTGAGCTATGCTGCACAATAAAGGCTTAATGAGCAAAGCAACTGCAATGTACATTCCCAGGAAAGTGTGGAAGAATCCGTTTGTCTCTGATAAACACATGTCTGTACCTCTCCTCATGGTCTCCAGGTGCTCCCACAGGATCTCCCCCGCGGTGCAGTCGGTCATCAGGCCCAGGAAGGCCTCTCTCTGCAGGCTGCACAGCTCCCCCCCCTGCAGCCCCCGCAGGTCTGAGACCAGGCCCTGGAGCCCGAACTCCGCCAGGCACCAGTCCAGCCAGTAGTTCACCTCCCACTGCGACCACAGGGTGGGGTCTGCACAGAGGGGGAGAAGTACCTCGATCTTGTACTTGAGTAAAAGTAGAAGTACCAGAGTGTAGGAATACTCTGTTACAGTAAAAGTCCTGTATTCAAAATGTTACTCAAGTAAAAGTAGAAAAGTATTAGCATCAAAATATAGTTAAAGTAGCGACAGTAAAAGTAGTCATTGTGCAGAATGGTCCATTTCAGAATAATATATATGATATGTTTTATAATGATTGATCATGAAAGTGTTCTCAAAGCTGGTAAAGGTGCAGCTAGTTTGAATGACTTTGTATACTGCAGGGTAGCTTGTGGATTTACTCCAGGTGGAACTAAAGTCTGATTTAACACTTGATTATATTTCACATCATTCATCCACATCTGTAAAGTAACTAAAGGTATTAAATACATGTAGTGGAGGAAAAGTACACCATTTACCTCTGAACTGTAGTGGTACACAGTAGCAAAACATTTAAATACTCAAGTAAACCTTGAAATTGTACCTAAGTACAGTACTGGAGTAAATGTACTTTCCACCCTGGATGTGAACATGCAGATGTTAATAACTGTACCTCTATGATTCCAAACACTGCACTATATCATCAGTAATGGGAGTTTCTCTCTGTGTGGTAAAGTTACCCTGTGGGAAGTGATGGATGATTCTCTCCTGGGCGAACCCAGCGAAACTGGCCTTCACCGCCTGGCTGAGGACCTCCTTACTGGTGGGGGTAAGAGGGGGGACCTCCAGGGCATCCATCTCTGGGACAACAGCACAACATATCATCCTCCCAAACTCTAACTCTGTTCCACTGTTCAGGAAACCTACATTTGATCAGTGAAGTCAATATATATTTGTAACGCCATCCACCTGCCAGGGGCTGCAGAGGAAAGCTAGCCTCTCTAATCACATGATGGAAGTGCTCATGTTGATTCATGTGCATTGTCCCTTCTGAAATAAATACAATATATCAGATGTGTGTGCTTGTAAATAAAAGGACTAGATTGTTTTCAACTGATTGGTCAATTATTCTGCTCATTTTGTGTCCGCCTTGTTTTTCAGATCTTTTTTTTAACATTTTTCTTAATTATTTTAGCTGAATCTTTTTTCCCATTTTTTTGTTTAGTTAGTTTTCCCTGTTAATTTCCATGTAATAAGCCCATGGCTTTTTCACCTCTCCTGACCATAGACTGTTTATATCTCCTGAGATATTTAGCTCTTTCTTAACTAATAAGACAGAAATAGATGACATTATTACATGTTTTTTTAGTATTTAAGGTTTAAAACAAAACAATCCCATACATTAAACTTACATGTCAGCCATTGCATGTTCGAAAACGTAATTGATATTCAAAATAGTCAGTCACTGATCACATGATCAACATAGGCTCAAAATGATGACATGCACATTATGCATTATAATGTGTTGTCTAAAGCTGTGTGGAACTCATTTAACTCCCTGTGTATTTATAACTCAGTATCTGGATACAGTACAGACTCCTTTACTAATGTTCTAAACTGCCTGATCAACTGTGCACACGCTCATTATTACAACATCAACAGTTTATTCCTTATGTACCAAAAGCATTAAATGCAAACACTGAATTGATTTAAAGCTTCCTTTTATTCCCATTCCACCTATAACTGAAGTTTAACAAATGATTTCATATTATCCCAATCATACAAGTATAACAGTCAGCATCAAGGCAAACAACAATCACACCGTATCATTTGGATATGATTTCATATTGATTATTAAAACAATACAATAATTTGTGAGAAAAGTTATTGATGACATTAATAAACACTTGAACCTGCTTACGACTACATTACAGTTCATTAAAAAACAGTCATGAAGTGTTTACCGCTCACATTCTGCTTTAAAATACTCACAAGGGGGGTGCAAAGTTAGTAGTTGAAATAAAATATGATTAGTTGTAGAGCCAGATTGGAACAAGACGAAGACAGCTGAAGAGTGGTTTATAAATCGTGTTCTTACCGTAGTTACTGCAGTCCATCCCAGTGGGAAGGAGGTGGGGATCAGGTGGAGGAGACTGAGACCACAGAGGGGGAATGGGACTTAAATATGACATATGGGAGCGGAGGAGGGGTCCGGGTGAGATGGACAACTGTCAATCATTTTGGCATGGGAGGGGCGGGAGCAACAGGTCCGAGGCCAAGTGTGGAATCACAAAATCAACAATTTTACAAAAGTCACGAGACACGAGAAACAGTCATTTGTTAATTAGAACACATAACAAACCTTTCATCATGTCAGACAACCTTCATAATATTTCTTAATTGCAGTATCATAGTGTAGTATAGTTATATATTTTAGTTCAGATTAGGGTATTTTTATAATGCATTCACTATTTATGATAAAATATATTCAATCCATTTTTTTATACCCCACTGTATGTCACTAAAACAGTTCATATATATATATATATATATATATATATATATATATATATATATATATATATATATATATATATATATATATATTAACTGTGTATTGTACAGTGATAATATGTGTATTTGTTATTGTTCTATATGTTTAATGATTGTGTAATGTCTGTTAACATGTTGATGTGTCAAAAAAAATCCCAATTTGGGATGAATCAAATATAGTTCAACACTTAAAAGACTTTTACTCAGATTTCATGATCACTCTCAGGACTTTTACCTTCCATATTGACAAACATCCCTTAATCAATACAGAGAACCATTTATTTGTAAAAACCACAATCAACACTTACATTATAGTCATTTTAAAATATATGAAAAGGACTTTATACCACTCTATGTATTTCATCGTAATGCATCTCAACTCTTAAACTTATATTTCAATTGGACTTTTCTATCCATTTGTGAAACTTAGATGAATTATGCATTCTTTTTTGTTTATTGTTATCCTTTTTCTTCTTCATGAATGACTATAGATCTGGGAGGTGTCTTCATAAGCCATGTGTCGCTTCTAACCTCTCAAACCTCTTTCTAAAATTCTTACCAGCTTTTCATAAATGCCATTATGTACGCATTAATAAACAAAAACTTTCCAATCTCTGCTCTGGTGTTAGAGATAGACAGAACATTCTCCCTTAAAGCTCACCTATTATGCTATATTTGAACAATTTATAGGGCCATATCTATACAAAACATGTCTCTGAAGTGTTTTGCTCAAAATACCAAACAGCAGCATACCCCTCTATTTCAGTCCTGTTACTAAAGTGCTGATTCTGGGTCTGGCCCTTTAAATGTAACCGAGCTGCTGCTGGACAAGCCCTTTTGGAGCTGCTGTTGTCCACGCCCCTTTGGAGCGTCCCCATGCAAGCAGTGAGCTCTGTGAAGAGAAGGCTGTCTACCAGCAGAAACTCAGCTAAACGCTGCCGTGATTAAACGCCATATTATGTTCCAAACCACATCAAGCATTATTTCTGAAACGGTATGGAGCTCAAACACTTTCTCTCTCGCGGGTTTACCACAAGGACAGTACCTTTTATATCCTGCTTCTTTACACATATTGTAGGCCTAGTCTCTCCAGTACAGGTTAGCTCTAAGTGTTAGCGATGCTTGCTAATGTAAACAGACCATATTACTTCCAAAACACATTGCGCATTGTTTCTGATACAGCGACGTTTCTGATAGGAGACGATAAGTTGGGACGTGGGTGGGACGTTGCCAGGAGGTCAATTTAAAGCCAGCCCACATTTGAGTAATGTCGTCATGACCGCAGCAAATCTGGATCAGCTCCGTTAAACCCCCGTTTTTAGAGATGTGGGTAAGGAGGACAAGTATTTTCTGACACTTTGTGAGTCTCCTTACACACCGGGGACACATTATTATGTTTAAAAGACATCAAAAAGTGCTTTGTGCATAATAGGTGACCTTTAAGGTTTTGATCTGAAAATGAACCCTGTATTACACCTTCCATTCTAAAAAGCAGACCAGGATCTCTACTGCCCCCTGCTGGTACACGACACATTCACTCTCTTACAGTGCACAGATGTCTGTTCACTGCTCTCTCTGGACCTGCTCTTTCTGCCATTTCTGATATTACATCAGCATGTGCTTCAAGCTTTCCTGGAGGAGACTGATTTGAAAAAGTCTAGATGTGACATTCCTATGAAAGCTGCTGCAGAAATATCTGGTTAATGTATCATCCAAAAGGAGGGAAGGACTTTTCATTTAACTATGGAGGCCTGAGAAGCTTTACATACAGAAAATACATTCTGGTGATACATTTTCTAAATCTATTTAGTTTTGTCCCCTGTGCTAGGATAATTTCTTCAAAAGAAATGAATCTCAAAAAGCACATTGTTTTTTCTCCTGTTCCTCCCACCCCCAACTAATTGATAGAAGGAAATTAAACCCCATCCTACATGTTGGATTAATGCCCCAGGTAGACCACCACACAACACAGACCGTTACAATATTGTGCAATATAGCTTATTTTGCATTCTATTGTTATTCTGGATGCTACTTCACTCTTCTATTTTTTTATTTTATTTAGCCTTTATTTATATAGGTGTAAAATCTCATTGAGACACAAGGTCTCATTTGCAAGAGAGACCCGTCAGTGGTAACACTACCACACAAAGTTACAGACGGACAGGACACTAAACACAGAGGCAACACTAAAATACAACATCGTAAAAAAAGTAGTCATTGAAATCCATATAAAGTAGTCAGATATAGCAGGTGCAAACACCCACAGATGATTTCTCCAGCTCTCTATAGGGCAATAATCACTGCGATACATACAATGTGTACACTCTTAACACCTTTATCTGTTCAATTACCTTCTTAATGCCAAGTGAACTTATTCTTAACCATATATGTACACTACTTATATGTCTTTATATTGTATTAATGCAATCTTGTCTCTATTTTCTATATGTTAGCTTACTGTTTGTTTTTTGTGCCTTTTATCTGTTACTTTTGAAGTAACGCTTTACCCCCACTGCGGACTAAAAGGATTTCTGATTCTGAATGTTATTTTGATGTGTCAACATTGAGTAGCACAATGAAACGAAACGTCTGAGCTGTTGATAGTTGTCATTTATTGACAATAAGAAAAGAAAAGCATTGTCTTCTAGTGAAATGTTAGGTTTAGTAGTATGGGCTTTCTGCAGTCTACAGCACCACAGCTCATATGCAGTAGCTTGAGCAGGAATACATGCTGTTACAGTACATCAATGGAGCCGATACCCACAGTGTCTTGGACTAAAGTATGGTATACATACACACATACACAACTACAGTACATTACAGAACACGCACACATTTTCAAGATGAATTCAGTCACTTAGAATTTAGGCAGAGAAGGCTTTGTTCATTTCTAACACTTTTAGGAAGAGACAGACATAAACATGCTGAGACACAGGACGGATGGATACACGGATATATTCAACAAACACCATGAAACATAACCGGACGGAGTCTTTGAATATAATAATGATGATGTTAATCTGCGGTAAAACGGAGACCACGCTTCCTTCCAACACCACCCTGTCACAGGTCCCTTCATTAACCCCTAAGTGTCACTTCTCTCTGTCATGGTGGAAGACATTTGCTGGTTTGAAAGCATAACAGTGCTGAGGTTTGTTCAGATCAGAAGTAGAAAAATATGTAGTTAGAATAAAGGTTAAAATCACTGTTTGGTTAAAGACCTAATCCCAGTATTTGTTAAAGCATTCTAAAAGGTCTCAGCTCTTGATGTTTTGACCTATTTCCAAACATTAGTTGGACATTTTGGATAATGGGAGGATTGTTGGAGCAAAATCATTAATATATTATTATTTATTTTGTGCCCAAGAAAAATGCCATGATGTAATCTGGCTGATTTACCCAACAGTGACAATATGCATTGCTGGTACACAGAGAGAAAATACAGATGGAAAAAACCCACTTCAAAACATGCTACTGCAAGATCAACTGGGAGTGATAGCGGTTATTTATGGGGCGATAATGTAAGGAAATAATGCCACAAGTGAAAAACTACAGGGGTTTTCTCCAGTGGTTGGACCGCAGTGAGCTACAGGAGGAGGAGGGGGCTGCTGAGGTTTAGCGGGGGTCGTCGGGGGCGGCGATCTTCTCCAGGCTGGGCTCCATGCCCCAGATCTCACGGGCATACTGGGAAATGGTGCGGTCGCTGGAGAATTTTCCACAGCCCGCGATGTTATGGATCACCATCTTGGTCCACGCTTTAGGGTCCTGAAAGAGGAAAGGTAGAGATGTCAAATAAGATATACCTCATTTAAATCCTGAGAAATAGTAGGGTAGTTTAGTACAAAATCATATAGAACAAGGTAACTCTTACTTTAAATACACTAAGGCTAGAGTATGATACAATACGGTATGTTATAATTTATTATTATTACTTTCAAATTCAAAATATTAATAATGTGTATAGTTAGCTAATTGTATTTTTTTGTTTTATAAATGTGTGCAATATATTGTGTTTTATTCCGATATACTGTTCTGTGGCACTGCAGATTGAATGACACAGTAGTTGTAAAAGTATGCTCGTGTCCTCAACATATATAATGGTTCAGTTTCACATAGAATATAAATCAGATGGTAGTATACAAGTACAATGTGCTGCAATAAAGCATTGAATATGGAATATATCATATGGAAGTAAAGCAGACACCAACAGATGTTCATAAAAGGTGAATGCAGTACTGACCACAAGATTCTTTTTGCTACTTAAGAACAAATACATTTAGACTTGATCTCATCCTGATTTCCTCTTGCTGACACACTGACCTTGTAGAGAATGCTGACTCTGTCTTGAGTTTTGATGTAGGCTTCATAGTCTGCAAACACCTTGAACCTGCAAAAAAAAGACAGAATTAATACTTTGTTTATTTGAGACATTAAAAGGGATAGTTTAGATGTTTTGTTATTACTCTAACTATAAGGTAAGCATCTCACATAGCCCCACTTAAAACGATCTCTTTAATGACGGGAACAACACGGTTTTAAATCAGTCTTATAGGGCCTTTGCATTAATGAGTGCCAGTTGACTTTAGGAGATGATGATGACTTGCTTCACAGAGTCAAATCCAACACCTCCTTCCCTCTCATGAGGCAGTGACAGTGATACATTGATGACTCTGCATGGCTGTGGGCTGACAGGTAGCCCGTGTGTCAGCACAGACAAAGTGCTGAGTCGTCAGTGTTAGCAGTGGCCTCCCACCTGTCGTGCTGCATCAGCATGTTGACCAGGTCTCTGAAGAGGTCAGGCTGGCCGGGGCTGAAGAAGCCCCCGGAGATCTGGTCCATGGCCTGCTTCAGCTCGGGGAGACGGTTGTAGTACGACGCAGCGTCATAACTGTGGAGAAAAGATATTCATCACATCATGGGCACATTTGGACGTTTTTTAAAATAAAAATACAGGTACAATCATGAGACATAAAGGACTCATGTGAAACAGGACACCCCAATAAGCTATAGGAAGCTTGAGAACAGGGGCCCAGACAATACAAACATAAAATATGAACAACATATATCATTAATACATATAGAATTGAGAGTTCACGTATTGTTACCGAAACATTACAACCCAAAAACATACCGCACACTGCATTTCAGAGGAAAGTGAACTTGTACACAGCCATTCCATTTGCTTAACAAGTGTTGTTTTAAGTGCGTTTCAAAGACAGACAAAGATAAATACCTTTTAATACTGTTATAAAATGTGCAGGTGCAGCATTCATATTTTCTTGGTTGAAAGCTTACCCAATCTTGTCCATGGCCTCCACATCTGCCACCCTCATGCCGAAGATGAAGAGGTTCTCCTCTCCAGCTTCCTCTGCCATCTCCACGTTGGCTCCATCCATGGTGCCGATGGTGAGAGCCCCGTTCAGCATGAACTTCATGTTCCCGGTGCCAGAGGCCTCGGTGCCGGCTGTGGAGATCTGCTCCGACAGGTCGGACGCTGGGATGACTGCAGACAGGAGGTTTGAAATTCCACTTTTACTCTCTAAGTTCTACTACAGTAAAGACTCATTTTAGTTCAGGGGCCACATACAGCCCAATTTGATCTAAAATGGGCCGGAGCAGTAAGATCATCGCATGATAACCTCCAAGTAACCACATCTCCACATTGTTCCCTTTGTTTGAGTGCAAAAAATTACATTGTGAAAATGTTCACATTTAATGAACGATAGTTTTACAAACCAAGAAAAATAAGTGCAAATTCAACCATATTATGCCTCAGTTTATAATTGACACATGTGCATTACAACTCACAGATCACAGTGTATCTACAGAAACATTTAGTCACCGGTATCTGGAACTGAACAGTATTTTACTTTATAGAAATGATATTAAAAGTATCTGTGTAGTAATCCTGACACACCACCATACAGACTACAGTGGGAACTATTAAGGAAGAAGGTTTGGTTATCACCCTGCCTTGTAGATGTATAGCATGTACACATACAAAATATATGAAAGTTGTGAGAATTGCAGTTCATTTCTGTAATTTGTACACTTTGCTAAGTCATCCCATATGTTTGACACCCCCGCTCTCAGCCCTTAACATTTTACAAAAAAAGCTTATCTCCAAGTAAGATCGTGAAGTAAGTATTTGTTACCCTTCTCAGCCAGAGTGACGCGGTAGTTCTCCAGGTAGATCACTTTGAGGAGATCTCCCACCACAGGGTCGTTATTCACAATGTCTCCGATGGATGTGATCAGCTTGATGATCATCTTAGCAGTGTGGTAACCTGGAGCCGCCTGGACACACAGCAGACCATCTTCAGAAACACTGAATAAAACCAGGCTGAAGTATACTCCATGTATCAACAATATTTTCAGGGTGGGGAGGAGAAATGATCTGTTTGTTGGTTTGCTGAATATTTAGCATTATAAGTATGATTAAGTCTCATTAGTAGATAATAACAGCAACACATTTAGCAGCTAAAACTTTACATTTAAATTCAGACATTTCTCTATAATGATCAGTCCACATTACACTAAATGTATGACTAATCCAAAAACTGTTTTAAGAGAATGCTTGGTGTGTGTGCATATTGTAAAATGTGTCTTATTGAGACAGAATTGGTGAAGAAACTTACGGAATGAAGCAATTATGAACTACGACTTGCTATGCCCGTTTCAGATAAAGACTATCAAATCATTATTATTACAACATCCAAATGTACGAACACGCCTGTATATTGATGAGAAACGTCGTGTTTCATATGTCCTTATCTTGTCCAAAATACAAAATAAATTTGAGATGATATTTCAAAACTTTAAATAATTCTGGAGACATAAAATATGTTTGATTCTAACTTGCCCATTTTTGTACTTGGTTTTAACCCCCTATAGAGTCCTTTTGCGTCTTTTAAAAGACATGTTGTGTCTCGTGCAGTTGTTTTGTCTCTTTGTTTTAGTTTAGTTTCTTTGTGGACTTTTTATGGTCATTTTGGCCTGTGCCCAGTAGACCAGTTATCCATCCATGGTCTAAAAATAGAAAACAAATGCAATGTACCACCTTTAACACCCCTCACCTTTCCTCCAATCATGATAGTCCTGGGGGTCCATGACTTCTTGGGATCCTTCTTGATTCCTGATAAAAAACAAAAGCTTTTGTTTTACCTCTGAATCCAAGTTTATTTACAATGAGTGGCCAGCTAAAGTAAAAAGCACCCACGGTTGTACAGCGTGATGATGTGCAGGCAGTTGAGCAGCTGTCTCTTGTACTCGTGGATCCTCTTCACCTGAACATCAAACATGGAGTTGGGGTTGATCTTCACCTTGTAGTGCTCTTCAAGATAGGCAGAAAACTTCATCTTGTTCTCCTACAAGTTGATGACAAACAGAGGGAGTGATCAGAAACAAACAAAAGACAGGAACATAATCACTTTTCTTTAGTTACACAAACATCTCCTCCTCCTCGTCCTCTCCTGGTTTAAATCATATCTCTCCGACAGACTTTCCGCCTCAGTCACCCACGGTGTCCCCCAGGGCTCTGTACTTGGTCCCCTGCTCTTCATCAACGACATAATCCCACTTGGACTCCTTCACCACCAACTCCAATTCCACATTTATGCCGATGACACCAAGCTCTACCTCTAAACAAAATCTATTTGTGCAACCACACACTCCCAACTCACCATCTGACATTAAGAAATATGGATGCAAAACTATTTTCTTAACTCAACTGCGACAAATCAGAACTTATCATCATCGGCTCAAACTGACTTACCCGCTCAACCCAGGACTTTTCACATAACATCACGGCTCCATTTTCACCCCTCAACTCGCGTAATAACCTTGGCATCATCCTCGACACCACCCTCACTTTAACCTACTATACTCTTACATCATTCAAAAAAAGGCCGCAAAACTCACCTTCTCACTCTTGCCTTCAACTTCTAATCCTCTACCCACCTGCTCCTCCTCCACCTGGCTAAGTATTTGTATTTATTAGGGCCTGAGCACAAAGTGTGCGAAGACCTATTGTTATTATTCCTCTGCGCTGTAAAACCTGTTTTTGAGGGCTTTGCGACACCATTCATGCAGCAAAATTTTGCACAGTGAAAAATCTGAAGTTCTGGAGTCGATGGGTTAAACATTTCCAACATGCTCGCTAGCGCCACCTATATGTGAAAACATTTTTGGCACAAATGTACATAGTTGCACCGTAAGTCCGATGGACCCGGAAAGGGGCACACGTATCCGGGGGGACCGGCGCGACAGAAAGGCCACACCACACACACACACACACACACACACACCACACACACCACACCACACACACACACCTACACACACACACACACACACCACACACACACACACACACACACACCACACACACACACCACACACACACACACCACACACACACACACACACCACACACACACACACACACACATCACACACACACCACACACACACACACACACACACACACACACACACACACACACACACACACACACACACACACACACACACACACACACACTACACACACACACACACACACACACACACACACACACACACACACACACACACACACACACACACCCACACACACACACACACACACACACACACACACACAACACACACACACACACACACACAGGGAACAGTTTGCAGAGCTGTGCTTCATTTGCATAAGCTGCGTGTGGATAAGTCGAGCTATGTTTGACAATGTTGGCAATCTAATGTTTAGATGACATAATATATATAACATATGTATGTCATGGTTTTATTACAACCTACCTGTTGAACAGTTAATTAGCCTTGGAGAATATGTTCCATTGCAGAGAAAGTTATGCTTATTGTTTGCTGTATAAAATATGCAAGTAACTGATTCTCATTATACTTGTAATTTTGTATTTCTCTGTTATAGACCACACATACATATAGTCCAGGGCTGGCAACTTTGGAGTTCAGCTTAGAGTGAGATGACAATATTAGTTTTTGGTACACTGATTAATGTTGATGCTATTAATTGTGTACTGCACCTCATTAGTCTTTACTATTTTCAGTGAAAATATTATATTTTCTACTGTTGATATGTGTCTATTAACTGTTAATGCTTATCTTTATAGTTTAATGTATTTTAATTACACTTATACCTGTTTACATCCTACTATCTCGCCACTATAGCCTGTTGTGAATAAAGTTTAATTTCATTTACACCCGGTCTCTGTTGCCTGAAATCGACTCCGGAGGATACATCAGTGTACCCTCGGTTAAAGCTCCTCCAGAGAGCCTCCTCTCTTCTCTCTCTCCCCTCTATGAGTGTGCCCTCGGTTATAGCTCCTCCAGAGAGACTCCTCTCTCCTCTAAATCAGTGTATCCTCGGTTACAGCTCCTCCAGACAGCCTCCGCGATAATCGATCCTCGACGAGCCTTTAGAGAAATTTGTTTTCCTTCGAGACGGCGCGCCGACATCCGTTTCCGGGTAGCAGACGGAGGACCGGGGAGTCGAGGACGTGAACATTTGAGAAATGACAAACGGCTAATTTCGGAGGACTCGCGCGCGTCTGCTTGACGCCGGGACGACCGGCGACCCTCCCTGACAGGCGCACAGACGCGAGGGCCCGCCCACAACTGCGTGCATGTCTGTGACCGCAGTTTTAATTATTATTATCTTACCTGTTTGACTTTGGCAACATCTCGAATGAAGGTGTCATCGTCCACAAATTCCAGAAGCGTCTTCAGCTGGTCCAGGTCACGGATGTATTCCTCACCAATCCTCTACATAAAAAGATGATAACATTATTATTTGGCAGGATACCATAGAGTCAATCTGCAGTGTAAATAACACATACATCTGAGCTTTGGATGTGCTCCAAATGTCCATTAGTTAATGTGGTCTATGCAGAAAATAAACAGGACTTCACTTCCAGGAACCTGTACTCCTGAAATAACTGCCCTCACTTGTGTGTATTGACATAAACACACACACCTCTGCGATGACCTCAGCCAGGCCGGGGTTGCACATGACCAGCCAGCGTCTCGGAGTGATGCCGTTGGTCTTATTCTGAAACTTTTCAGGGTCTGTCTCGTAGAAGTCCTTGAACCTGAGGAGAAGAGCAGCAATGACACACTTATTAGCAGTTAGGGAATAATTTGTTTAGGTATTCAAACTTTGACACAGTTCATAATTTTCTCCTTTCACTGTCTCTTTTCCCATGGAGTCTACGGCCTTGGGTATTGCTGCTATCTCTCTTAAGGAGGGGCAGATTGGGCGCATTGTTGTTGCCAGTTTATGACCGAGCACAAGCTGACATGAGATAGTTCAGGGACTAGTTAGATTCAGGGTCCATATTTGTTTAGTCTCGCTGATGAAGAATGTTGATTATTACACTTCGAACTAGTTAAAACCTCGAACTACAGAAGAGTTCTTCAGAATTGGTTTGGCAACCGCTGTGTCAACTCGTGACACACAACCTGTCTTGTCAATTCTCCAGCCGTAACTCCAAATAAACCATCAGTGTTAGCCATCAAAGTTCCTGCTCTCCTCGTGTCTCTCTGAGTCCTGTTTCCAATTGCTTCAGAAGTTTCCATCACAATTAGCATCAGTATTTCTATGGAGCAAAATCTGGGCCAAAAGTTTTGATCATTCAAAAAATGTTAAAGTACTTGAAAGTTCAACTTTTGACCCTGAACTTTTAAAAAACAATGATGTATTTAAATAAATGTTCAAAGGTTTTTCCAGGTTGAATATCATTTTGATTTAGCATCTTTCTTTATAAACCTGCCGGTCACATGGCTGGCACCAGCGCACAGGAAGGAAATGTAAGCCATCTTCAATAAATAGTATGGAATAGCATACATCTGGTAGCCTAAATGTATAAAACAAATGCTAAACTGAATCAAAATATTATTGAACCTGAAGAAACTTTTCAAATACTTATTTTTAGTTTTAAAACATCATTGTATAAGTTTAGGATCGAAACTTGAACTTCAGAGAGGGGCGTGGCCAGCAGCAGCTCATTAGCATTTAAAGCTACAGACAGAGGCCGTTTCTCAATCGCGAGGATGCTGGCTTGGTAGCACAGCCGAGCCGAGCAGAGCATCTTGCTTCAGAAGCAAGGCAAGAATACTTCCTGGCATCCGGAAAACGAAGAGTGGAACAGGCTAGCAAGTGTGCAGGTGTGCGTCATATGAGAGGCCCCGCCTTACATCTTCCCGCCACAGATTTGGGGAAATTGGTCCATGCGCAAAGCATTGTGGGGATTTTAAGGACGCGAAGTCTACACATGTGCAGCCTCGAAATTTCCCCCAAACCAAGGACGCGGCCTCGGTGGAATTCCAAGTATGCTGGAGATTGGAACAGTCCTTCGGCGGCACTCGATGACGTAGCATCCTTGAAATATTGGCTTGGAAGCCAATATCCTTGCGATTGAGAAACGGCCAGAGAATCAGCACTTTTGGAACAGGGCTGATTCAAATCCTTCAGAGACATGTTTTATATATATCCGAGACCTGGAATATAATGTTGAAAAGAGTATAATAGGGGACCTTTAAAGTGGACCTATTATGCTATATTGGAAAAATATATTGTAGGACCTACATATACATATAAAAAACATGTCTGTGAAGTTTTTTGCTTAAAATAGCAAACCGATCACCCATTGTAGCCATGCCTCATACTGCTCAAACCCCTCTTTTGCAGCCCTGTTAGAGAAACGAGGATTTTGGGTCCTTAGCTTGAAATAAAAGAAAGAAGAGGAGGCGGAGCTAATGCCTGATCAGAATTCTACCGGAGATAAAGTTACATTCGGTTGTGATAAAACGCCATCCTGTTTAAACCACATCAAGGATTATTTCTGAAACAGTATGGAGCTCAAATGCTTTTTCTCTTGCAGGTTTATCACAAGGTGAGTTCCTTTTTTTATTTCCTGCTTTTTTATGTGCTCTCCAGTACAGGTTAGCTCTGAGTGTTAGCGAGGCTTGCTAATGTAAACAAAGACGAGATTACGTCCAAAACACATCAGGCATTGTTTCTGATAGCAACTTTCTGTGGGTCCGCCGCCGATTTGACGTCATATCGGCAGCAAATCTGTATCCGCTTGTTGTACACCCGTTTTTAAAAGATTTGGGTACGGAGGAAAAGAGAAAGGGTTTTATTTTCTGACGCTGCGTGAGTTCCCCGGCACACCGGGGACACATATTTATGTATAAAAGACATCAAAAAGTGCATTTTGCATGATAGGCCCCCTTTAAGTTGAGTTTGGGTACTTCTAGCACCACTGGTCATGTCAGATACAAATAAACCGGATGCTTCCTAGCGTTAATGCCATAGACACAAACACGAGAGGAGAGATGAGAGTTTCCTACACAGTGGCTTTGATGATCTCAGAGTGGATGCGGGCCACTCCGTTGACAGCGTGAGATCCCACAATGCACAGGTGCGCCATGTTGATTTTCTTGCCGTCCACTTCCTCGATCAGGGACATCCTCCGCAGGCGGTCCAGGTCTCCAGGGTAAAGCTTGCCAATACGCTGAAGGGGGAGGAAAGAGACGTCTCAGCAGATGTACAAGTTATGCATGTTTAATTCAAATGTTAGTAAACAGCTGGCTATTTGCACATCCAGAAGACACAGATCAATATGAATGTATTTCCATAATTCACAGTTTTTTTAATAGGAATTATTTATGAAAGAAATGCATTTCGACATACTATGTAGCGTTTTCTGATAGTTTTGAAATACTATACTGCATTGTTTTTTTCGACATATTGCTATGCCTGACATATCACATAATATCCTATGCCGTTTTATTTTTTTACATACTAGATATATTTTTTTTTACATGTTATACATACTATACCAAGACTGTTTTTCAACAGTTTTTTCTGATATTTTAGACATATTACATTATGACGTCTCATATTTTCGTCATCTATACTATCTTGTTTTTTTAATATATTTAACTTGCTATGTTGTATTTTTCTGATATTCTTTGATTTGTGTAGATGAAGGCATTACGTAAAAGCCTAAAATGCTCAGATATCTAAGTCCAGCATCCTTTGTACCTCCAGGTGCCGGCTGTTGATCTCGTAGATGATCTCCAGGTGCCGGGGCAGCAGGTTATGGAAGAGGTCGACGGGCCAGCGCTCCAGGGCTTCAGGCAGGACGGTGTGGTTGGTGTAGGCACAGGTACGAACCACGATGTCCCAGGCCTGCACAAAGAGATCTCACATTATCACACATATACCACTGAACGAGTAAACATGACAATATGTGCATTACCTTGGGCAAATACAGAAAACAATGTTATATTTATGTGTAAAATGACAGTGTTTTTTCTTGAAAAGATGATCCTATATTAGTCGGTTTACTTGCTTACATTCTGCCCAGTGTATGATTTCACTTCACTGTCTATCGGCAGTGTTCACCCTGCTGCTGAGTCATTGTTAGTGTTGAAGGATGCAAAGAGACAGAATTGCGACACAAGTGACCACAGCACAATTCAGTTAGACTGCAGCAGTTACAGTTTTTGCAGGAAGGGCCGTGTTACCAGGCAGTAACAGGCTCTCTATTTGAGCCATGCTGACGCCTGTGTGTCACACTCTGCTGAAAGTAAGTATACCTTGTCCCAGTCCAGTTTCTCAATGTCCACCAGGGTCCTCATCAGCTCAGGGATGGCCAGAGCAGGGTGGGTGTCATTCAGCTGAATGGCCACCTGCACAACAGAGTCACAATCATGTTTATTGCACAAAATGTTTAACCCTTAAAGTGCGATCTAGTGCAAACTATTTATGTACGATCAAATTAATGGTTTGTTAATTTGATTGCTATTTTCTACATTGCCCCCATATTGCACCCTTAATTTCCCCATGTTACACTGCCATTAGACCCGTATTACACCCATATTACACTGTTATTACACTCATTACACGGTTTGTTATACACCCCTATTACACTCATATAACACTGTTATTACACCCATAATACACCCATAATACACCTGTATTACATCCATATATTACTGATGTTACACTATTATTACATATATTAGACTCATATTGCAGCCATACAACACCAATATTCAACCCCCTTTTATCACAGTAAGAAAAATTTAAATATAAAATGAGAGCAAATATAGAAATATAATAGAATCTCTTGTGAAAACTATTATGAAAAATGTCTCAGAGCTATAAACATACCAAAAAGGAAATACTATAAGAATACAACACATTATAATGAGAGAATATGCACACAGTACATGATATTTTTTAAGTGGGGCAGCTGTTCAGACTTTAAAGTGTCAGAAAAAGTAATGGGAACGTGCAAAGGTCACAAGATGTGTGGTAATGTAAGGCAGGGATAAAGAAAACAGCATATTGCAAGTTTAAGTGCATTTTAGATTGAATTTGCAACCATTTAGCAGAGTTGCAAACCTGCAATCTGATTTTTTTTTTTATTAAAAAGGTGGTAATGTCAACTTTTTTATATATAGATAGTAATGCAAAGGAACACAAGAAAATAGGTCTACAGAGTACTACATCTGTTGCCCTCCATCCTGGTAAAGAGCTGAGGTCATCCTCTCTAACTGCTCACCTTTTCTGGCAGCGTAGAAAGGTCTAGTCGCACAAACTCTGTGGAGCCAAACTTGGAGGCTTTGAATCGACGGATGATGTCTTGAAGAGTTGCCGCGACGACAAAGTACTCCTGCTTCAGACGCAGCTCCTTCCCTTCAAAGAACTGGAGGCCAAACAGGAAAACTGTCAAACGCCTGAAAGTGCTGCCATTTTTATCTTATAAACACTGCGCTGGAGATAGAGACTGTCTGAATAATTCAGTTAAAGCTGCTCATTTAGGGCTTGCTTCCTCGAGAGCTTCACAGTTTTCCTGTGAAATGAGGGATTCTGAGCAACATTTCAGTGATGTGCTTACTTTCATTTAAATAGGGTTAGATATCTGGATAAACTGTTGACTTGATAATCTGACTGATCAACAGTGGTGGAATGTAACCAAGTACATTTACTCGGGTACTCAAGTACACTTTTGACAAACTTGTACTTCAGTTTAGAAATTGTATTTTTTTATATTTTCTTTTTTTTCTTTTAATCCACTTCAATTATTTAACACTAATAGTTACCAGTTACTTTTTACAATATAAAAACACATGATATATGTTAAGATTCAGTACTATACTGCTAATATACATAGTATTTTACAAATTAAACCATTGGTAAATTGGCCCCACATTGAAAAACAACAACGTTTAAATGCTCCTACATGTATTTGTTAGTTATAAAAACAGGATAATATAATATTCTAGAATACAAATGTAAAAACAGCCATTAAAGGTGGGGTAGGTAAGTTTGAGAAACCGGCTCGAGATACACTTGTTATATTCCATGGAATGCTCTTAACATCCCGATAGCAATGAATATCTGAAGTGCTTTGACAAAAAATCCATAAAAAAATATCATCTGTGGAAGCCGTAGTACTGTAAAAAGCACGACCAATCATTTTAGCCGGCCCGGCTAAAATAACTGGATGGCCTACCTGCCTGTCAGCCTTCCATCTGTGCACAAACTTATCTCGTGCCCTCATTGGTCATGTGCGCGTTCGTGTGTGTTGGAGGAGGGGCTCTGTAAGGAAGTGGCAGATTTTCTCCGGTTGTGTATTTTCAAATTCTAGCGATCTCGAGCCGGTTTCTCAAACTTACCTACCCTACCTTTAAGTATTCTGACGACTTTTTCTTTTGATACTTGAAGTACATTTGGCTGATAATACTTCTGTACTTCTACTTAAGTAACATTTTTAATTCAGAACTTTTAATTAAAATGAAGTATTTAAAGACCATAGTATTTGTACTTGTGAGCATAATGGGATCAAAAATAGCAGTCATACAAATAAGCCCCTACATTGGATTAAAGTGAATTAGCCAAACGGTTGGATTCACTCACATTGTCGTTGGGGTAGAGAACCCTGGAGATGTTCTCAGCCAGGTTCCTGTCCAGCACCGCCTGAATGTAGCCGCCAACATTAACTGCAGGACAAAGTTTGGACTCATATTTAGTGGATGTTCATGTATTAACTGTTTGTCAATGAGGAACAGAACAGATGACCATACTAACAGTCTTTGAGGTTGAAGTCACAGGGGGCTTTAGCAGACCACAGCCTCATGGTGTTCACGATGTTGTTCCTGTAGCCGGGGACTGGGGTGTCATAGGGGAGGGCCAGAACCACCTGAATCACAATAATATGTTAAATACACTGGTTATTGTTCATTAGTACAATGAGAAGGATTGGTTTCTGTTGGGCCTTAGCTTCCTCTTGGATGCTACTTAGGATGCGATACTTGGTTACTAAATCTTTACAAAGATGACAGTCGGCACCCATTCTTTTTTAATTAACCTTTATTTTTCCTGATTAAATCCTCATTGTGCATTTACTGTTAAATGTACTGCTCACTGTATATCTTCCAGTGGTGTAAAGTAACCAAGTACATTTACTCATCTACTGTACTCAAGTACAATTTTGAGGTACTTGTTACTTTACTTCAATGTGTACCTTTACCAGCTTTGATAACACTTTAATGCATCAACAATTATAAAACTCAAAATCCTATATATTGTTCTGAAATGGACCAATCTGCACAATGACTACTTTTACTTTTGGTACTTTAACTATATTTTGATGCTAATACTTTTATATTTTCACTTGAGAAACCTTTTGATTGCAGGACTTTTACTTGTAACAGAGTATTTACTACTTTTATTTTTAATACAAAATTATAATTTATCGTTAAACTAATTAATAACTTTGAATCAGGGTTTCCGCTAGGATCTTTTCTCGCCTGTCAAATGTCCCGACAGAATTTTTTTTACCGGACGAATTTGAAATTTTCCGGTCATGTTTCAATAATAATAAGAAGAATTGTGTAGCAGAGTTTCCGTTAGCAGGTAATTACCGGACTATGACCGGATATGCTGATATTTAAAACTCAGTTAATGGGGCTCATTTTTATATTGCTTCAGTTTATAATCGTAACAGATCGAAAAATTCACATTCATTTTTCAATAAATGATTCCACAAACAACAAACAACATAATTATTACATTCAAACAAACTACTTGTAGTAGATGAAGTACATTATTCAAAAGTTTACATTAACTTTGGATAATAACACGGGAGAAATGGATCCTCTCTTTTCCTCTCTCCCTCCCTCTCTCTCTCCTGACAGCCCGTCAGTTTCTCATGCAGCTAGAGATGGGCGAGTCCTGATTCATCCGGATCATTAACCCGGATCCTAGAAATTATCTGGTCGTGACGAGTCTCCCCTCTCCATTAACCCGAGTCCTTTGAGTCCCACACTTGGTGTGACGTACAAATTAAAACTATAAATTGCGTCACTCGCTACTCTCTTTATAACATGTAAAATCACATTACAACGTACCCCAGTCCATCTGCCTACCCTTTAGCAAGTAGGATAGCTGCCTGCCAAAAGTGATCGTTTGGCTCAGGGGAGGGGACGCGGATCTGTGAAACTTCCTGCAGACTCGTGGGGACTCAGAGGAGCCGACGGCTCCTAACCGTAATAGCATAGCAGATCCAGAGATCCATACTCGTCATGTGCACGAGCATAGCCCCTCCTCCAGCACCCGGCTCCCGCGCTATATTATGCACGAGTCAACAGCAGACTCGCAGATTCGCAAATCCTGACTCACTGTGCAAAACATAGCAGACTCGTGCGGACTCGGAGCCGTAACCGTATAGCAGCAGATCCAGAGATCCAGCAGACTGGTCATCATGCACGATTCAACAGCAGACTCAGATTCGCTAAATGACCTTTTTTTTGTGATCAATATGTTTTATTAAAGCAAAAGACACCACTTTACACACATTTAACACATACAAACACCAGTATTGCAATGATTACGCAGTCCATGAGAAAATATGGGGGGCATATGATTAGATATAATTATATGTTTAATAATAATAATTGTACAATTAAGACATTTTATATATTCCAACTGTTTTGCAATTTTCTATCATTTGTCATTGTTTGTTTCTTTTTGTGTGCTATGTTCAAAATAAACGTTTTGCCAAGTAAGATCCTTATTGGAAATGCAGCTATTACACGCAGGAGGCTGTTGCACAACATGACAATTTTGTTAGAAGTCTACACTGAAACTTCATTTAGAGCCGGAAACATAATGGACTTAATCAAAATCGCGGGATCCGTGAATCCAGGTCAATGATCGAGAGAGACCAGTAGCCTACGAGTTAGTCAGCGGAACTTCACAGACTCAGATTCGCAAATCCTGACTCACTGTGCAAAACACAGCAGACTCGTGCGGACTCAGAGCCGTAACCATATAGCAGCAGATCCAGAGATCCAGCAGACTCGTCCTCATGCACGAGTCAACAGCAGACTCAGATTTGCCAAATCGCAAAATAACCCTTTTTTTTGTGATCAACATTTTTTATTAAAGCAAAATACACTGTGTAGCGTCAGTTTAATATGCTCGTGAAATGCAACAACTTTTCGGTTTCACCGATAGGATTTCTACGGTCTTGGTGATGCTGACTCATATGACTCAAATGACTCGTATGATCCGGCTCTCTTCAATGACTGACTCAGAAGACCCTGAGTCCGTAAAAGGATCCGGATTTGCCATCTCTACATGCAGCTCGCTAAACAGTGGGCGGAGCTTCAGGTGATCTGATCTCTGATCTCTCTCTCGCGTCCGGTTATACTTCACTCGCGTTTATGTCCATATCGATCAGATCCAGTTCTCCTGATCGGCCTTTATAGAGAGCACCGATCAAACTATTAAGAGTGAATATCGGCCGATAATGACCGGCGGCCGATCGATCGGAGCATCCCTAATTATTACCGGACATTTTGACCGGCAGGTTTTGAATTTACCGGTTTTTAATCAATTTTACCAGCTAAAAACCGGTAATTACCGGCTAACGGAAACCCTGCTTTGAATCTGTTCAAATGATAGTACATATGTAATCAGACAGCATTATATCCATCACATGAGAGTTGCATTTCATTCCCTGAGCTTCTGGTGTGTGTTTCCACTGACCTGTGTGTCAACCCACTTCACTCCTTCAGCGGTGTGTTCCACTCGTCCGTAGTAATGGACCGGACGCATGTACTCGGGGCGGGCCTTCTCCCAGGGGTTCCCGTAACGCAGCCAATCATCAGCCTCCTCCACCTGTGGAGACACGACGCTGTGGTATTATTGTTGTGAAACAGAACATACTACACTACACAATAGTCATGGATATGTGCTACAAAACAATTTATTAGGGTCAGGGGTGGAAAGTAACTAAGTACATTTACTCAAGTATTGTAGTTAAATAATTTTTTGGCATACTTATATTTTACTTATTTAAAAGCTACTTTATACTTCTACTCCAGTACAATTCAGAGGCAAATATACTTTTACTCCACTACATTTATTTAACGCTCAGTTACTTTGTAGATATAAAAACACATGATATGCTGATATGATGTAATGCAGTACTGTACTACCAATCTACACTGTATTTAAAATGTGGCCCATATTGAGCAACTACAATACTAAAACGCTCTTGCATGTATAAAACATGATAATATAATAAAAATATAATGTAATAAAATGTAATCCGGTGAAAAAATGTATTCTGCATAATGAGTACTTTAACTTCAGATACTTAACGTATATTTAGCTGATAATATTATTGAAATTCATATTAATCTGAAATGTGCAATTTTACATAATGAGTACTTTTTCTTTTTGTACATTAAGTAACATTTTGAAATCAGGACTTTTTGTATTTTGACAGATTTCCCCTCCCCGGTCAGTGTATGTTTTGGTCATTGGATTTTCTTTTCACAAATGGATATTCAAAAACAAAAAACTGGATATTTAATTTTCGTTTTAAAATTGAAAAACCAAAATTGAAATACAAGGCGTTTTTATTTATCATGGTCAAAAACGGATTTACTAAACTTAAAAAACGGGATGATTTTCATTTTCTACTTCTCAAAACAAAAATAAAAATCACTAGAAAACGGAAACAAAAAAACTGCAGTTTTTTCATATTCTGCTACCGGAAGTTACCTTACAAAAGAGCGCAGACGAAACTCATGGAACTGATTTCAAAACAAAAGCACTCGTAGGCTATGCTAAAATCACACTTTGAATCACTACAGTATCCTGTTGAAGGAACTGTGATTATTATAAACAAGGAGAATTTAGCGATCACAATGAAAACGGCCAAGACTCACTTTGAGCCCAGAAAATGAATGTTATTAAGGGCTGTAAATATAATAAGCCTATGTCTAAAATGGACAACATTGTTAGGAGATTTAAACTATACAGCGATTCTGCACTGCGGTCAACTCACCCGTCTCTCGAGTTTGTTATTATTTGTTCTGCCATTAGTTATTCGTGAGATTGACACTGTTGGACTAGGCTAGTAGTGAAACTACTCCAAGTACTATGAAGTACTTACTGTGTACTTTTTGAGTAATGCTCTGTCAATGTCCCCTCCACAGAACAAGAATGCATGTTTCTCTGCTATTTTGAATAAGCGTTAAAAAACCTTTCTTCCTGAGACTGATATTGTTGGACAGAGTATTTTAAGAGGATATGGTAGACATGATATCAGCAATACTTCCAGTCAGTACTCCGGCAGCAGCATTTTACACCTTGGAAAGTCTTTAGAGTCTGGCCTGGATAGCTGGTCCCAACTCCTTCAGCACACTGACACACCCTGTCACTCTTGTTGGCCTCTTATGATGTTGCTGTCTTTTAAAAATAGGACTATTTCTCTGATCCTAGTTCATTCCTCTCAGATTCTTCCATCAGTCCCAGTCATTGCATGTCAGTCAATAGAGCTTCAAATCCACATCCTCCTACTAAACGTATTTTATTTACTTTTCCATGTTATACTTATATACTTACTTGTATTACAACATTTGCATGTTGAACTACATGCTGGATATCTTCCCCAGCCTCAAGGAAACACAATAAAATAAATGGATTCATAATTTTAAAAAATGGATAAAAATGTTTAAATTAATAATGTTGTGCAAACATTTAAAATTAAAATATAAAATGAAAAAAAGTTTACTTTTGAAATGATTTCTCACAAAAACCTTTCTAAATTATTTAAAAAGTTTTAGTCAATATACATTTTTCTGCCTAAAATAGTTGAAATTGAACGTAAACTATATCAAACACCACATCCATGGCAATTAACCAATTTTTGCCCGCTATTTAAATTGACTTTGGGTTGAAGTTAATAACAATATATATATATATATTGTTATATATATATATTGTTATATATATATTGTTATATATATATATTGTTATATATAGTTATATATCGTCTATTACTATAGTTATATATAGTGAGATAGGAAGAGAGAGATATATAGAGAGAATAGAGAGAGAGATATATAGATATATATAGATAGAGAAGAGATATAGATAGATAATATATATATATATATATATATATAATGCTTGTATATCAGATAGTGGTTTGTTTAAATAACTAGTGACATTTGAATAAATATTGAAAAAAGGGCTCAAAAAAGGCAATATATATATTATATAATATATATGCCTTTTTTGGAGCCCTTTTTTGCAATATTTATTCAAATGTCAATAGTTATTTAAACAAACACTATCTGAGGATACAAGCAACCATTAAAACGCCCTTTATCTAAAAGACAGCAGCATCATCATAAGAGGGAAACCAGAGTGACGGGGGTGTGTGTCACTTGCTGAAGGATATTTGTGACCAGTATCCAGGCCAGACTTAAAGACTTTCCAAGGTGTAAAAGGCTGCTGCCGGAGTACTGACTGGAAGTATTGCTGATATCATGTCTACCATCCTTTTAAAATACTCTGTCCAATAATATCAGTCTCAGGAAGAAAGGTGTTTTTAACGCTTATTAAAAGAACATGCATTCTTGTACTCGGGAGGGGACATTGACAGAGGATTAATGGAAAAGTACACAGTAAGTACTTCATAGTACTTGTGGGGGTAGTTTCAGTAGTACTGAGTCCAACAGGATCAATAGGCGCGTTCACACCAAGTACTTTGCCGTATTTAGTGCCGGCACTCAGTGCCCCGGCACTTATTACCCCAGGGCATTTAGTACAGATCGCGTTCACACCGGAGTACTTTTCCCTGAGGGAAGATTACGCAAATGAGCCGCTGACGTCACTTCGTCTTCTTCTGCTTTGGGTTTACTGGCAGGCCGCAAACAACTTCACGGCGTATACTGCCACCCGGAGTCCCCGGCCGGAAGTCCCCGGAGTTGGGGACTGGCTTCAGTAGAAGCTGCTGGGACTCCCTGCAGCTTCTACTGAAGCCTTCCGAGTAAATCGCCAGAACGCCGACACCTCCTCATCTCCACCGCTCCCATGTTTCATTTTGTGTTGCCATAAGTTAATCTCTCTGCGTTTGTGCACTGGGCGAATGCTAATGCTAATAATGCTAATGCCAGGATAATAAAATGGCAGCTCTACAAAACATTTCAGAGTTGTACGGGGCGTGGTTTGCAATTCGCCCAGCCAATCAGAACTGGGGCACTTTTTCCCCCAGGAAAGTACCATCTCTCAGCAGGCACTAAAAATGGGGGTAAAAGTTCCCGAGATGAAGTGCTCTTTTTAGTGTGAACGCGACATAAGGGGTACTAACGGAACTAAACGCGAAAAGTACGGTGAAAAGTACTCCGGTGTGAACGCGGCTCTTATCACAAAGAACTAATGGCAACAAAAAACCTCATCACAAAATTACCTCATCAAACTTAGCAGAAGTGACTTGATTTTGTTTTCAGCAGGGGACTTTGACAGAGGATTTCTCACAAAATACACAGTAAAATGACTTCAATGTATTGTTAGTAGTAGGCTAACTAATACAAAGTCAAACAGTATCAATTTCATTAAGAACTAATGTTAAAATTGTCTCTTTATCACTCATCAAAGATAGCAGATAAACATGCATTATATGGAGGGGACTACTCACAAAGTACACAGTAAAAGTAGCCTACTTAATTTCATTTCTGGTAGCAGTCAATATAGTTCCGAGTCCAAAAGTGTCAGTTTTATTAAGAACTTGTGGTAAAAAATATTCACTCACTCATTGAATATAGCAGGGAATAAAATGAAGAGCAGCTGATTTGAAAAAACTGTGGACCTCTGTATGTTTTCGTCAGCGCAACTTACATGATGCCGTTTAAAACATATAATAATAAAAGGGCAGTGCCGGCCGTCAGCGAACCGAGCCGGCCTTTCTCCGCATCTGATTCATGTCATAAATCTGATTTTAGAAAAGCGTTTTAGCTAATCTAAATGAAATATGCGGGACATCGTCTCAATTTGCGGGATGCACCAAAAGTCGTGAAAATACTGTGCAGTACCGCACAAAGTGGGACATCTGGTCACCCGAGAGACGGCTGAGTTGACCGCAGTGCAGAATCGCTGTATAGTTGAAATCTCCTAACAATGTTGTCCATTTTAGACATAGGTCTATTATATTTACAGCCCTTAATATCATTAATTTTCTGGGCTCAATATGTGTCTTGGCTGTTTTCGTTGTGAAAACAAATGGACCGTAGATACACGGATTGACCGTGCTCATCTGCGCTCTTATTTTGTAAGGTAACTTCCGGTAGCAGAATATGAAAAAACGGTAGTTTTTTGTTTCTGTTTTCTAGTGATTTAATTTTTTGTTTTGAGAAGTAGAAAATGAAAATCATCCCGTTTTTTAAGTTTAGTAAATCCCTTTTTGATCATGATAAACAAAAACGTCTTGTATTTCAATTTTGGTTTTTCAATTTTAAAACGAAAATCAAATATCCAGTCGTTTTTTGTTTTTGAATATCGATTTGTGAAAAGAAAATCCGATGACCAAAACATACACTGACCCTCCCCCTACATGTTTGCCCCGCCCACTTCGATCACTCATGAACAGGTTTTTGTACGACTTTTTAAAGTATCATGGTATTAGGGAGTTCGTTTTTCATTGGTGCGGGTTTGCACAGCCCAAACATGTGGATGTATGCACATATTAGTTGGGTCATCTCCAGCAATTCCGTGACCGTGGAGAGCGGAGGTTCGTTTCTCAGTGGATTTGTAATCTATGAAGGGTTTAAAAAAAAAAAATAGCCCCCATGCCCCTCGCAAAAATGTGGGCAAAATCTTTTAGAGCCCTAAATCCAAAATGGCTGCCATCATCATAGGTTGAAAATTAGCTTTTCAATGTTTTGGCCTACAATGTTGTTCAATACATGGTTTCTGGCACTTTTTGGGTTGAGGAATTCATATTTGATGTTGTTTTGATGATTTGACCTATTTTTGCTCACAAATGTCTCATTATGGTCACTAATTTATGAATGAATTCAGTTGAATTTGATGACAAATGTGTTTAATAGAATACAAGGTATTACACAAGTAATTTAACAAGGCATTTAAATTGAATTTACAACATTAAAATAGACCGCTAATCTTCAGGCCCCGCCTTACATTTTCCGCCACAGATTTGGGGAAATTGGTCCGTGCTCAAAGCATTGTGGGGATTTTAAGACGGCAGAGTCTACACATGTGCAGCCTCGAAATTTCTCGCTACGAAGTACGGGCTCGGTAGAATTCCAAGTATGCTGGACATTGGAACAGTACTTCGGCGGCCCTCGATGACGTAGTATGCTTGAAATAGTGGCTCTGGAGCAGCTTTACTCGACATTGAGAAATACCCATTGTCACAGCTGATGCAACCAGCAGCTGTAAAGGTCACTTTGGGTCCACCAAAAATTCCCCACCAATTGGCAACCACAGTTTGGCATTGGGTTCAAGAGAGTGCTTATTCTGGTGTGCATTTGTGTTCATTCCATACATTTGAGTTTTAAATTAACTTTTTTTTCACTAGATTACAATCTTAAGCAACATAGATTCAATCAAACAGAGCACCATAACTTGGACCTACCTGCCAGCCGTCAACAATCTTCTGATTGAAGATGCCGAATTCGTAGCGGATGCCGTATCCGTAAGCAGCCAGACCCAGAGAGGCCATGGAGTCCAGGAAACAAGCTGAGGAAACAACAAGGGGGGTGTGCTGGATGAGACAAGGCTGTCCACAGCACTAAACATCAATGTCTGTCAGCAGCCAATCAGGAGGAGGCAGGAACTCACCAGCCAGGCGACCCAGACCACCGTTGCCTAGACCGGCATCTTCCTCGATGTCCTGCAGCTCCTCCATGTCCAGACCCAGCTGAAAGACACATCCACACTGCTGTTAACACTACAGTTACCTTCATCGCCTCAGAGAGTACATTTAAAAAAAGGAATCATCTCCTGGTTCTTAGTTCAAGTCAGCTCTCTAATACCCATAGAAAATTCAGTTAGAGACAAATGTAGAATCTGTTTGTTAGATCATGACGATGGTTTTCTGGAGATTTCTGCATTTACAGTACTGAATAGATAAAAGCATATGGACACCCCTGTGAAGATAACAGTTATAGCCTCTTAGTCCCATGTAAGGGAATAGTATTGCTACAGGATTCAATATTTTAGAAGACTGTCTTTCCTTTTACTGTTTTAACATGACAAGCTCCTTAAATAAATAGTATTTCCAGTTATGTGTGGAAAACCTTGACTGGTCTGCACAGAGCCCGGACCTTAACCCCATCCAACACCTTTGGGATGACCTGGATTTGACTCCTCATCGGGGTAGGCCCTCACTAATGCTCCTGTGTAGGGCTGGGTGTCTATACAGTATAGTTTCAATCGTAAAATGACTTTATGAGAAGCATTTTGTCATCCTGTTATTCCCCTCCATCACTGTGGAGCTGAGTGTGTGAACTCCTATGGAGTGACCCTCATAATACGGGGCTATTGGTTTGCCAAAGTCCCTCATTTGGGTTTCTTATGGGGTTCTTTTTGTCCTTTGCCCAACCTGGTATGTGGCTTCATCGCAGGCGTTCTCCAAGGCCAGGTTCACCATGGTGTTCTGCAGAGTCCGGCCCATGTAGAACTCCAGGGAGAGGTAGTAGACACGCTGCAGAGAAACAAAGAGATTAAGCTGGTTAATGTTGGATTTCTTTACATTTAAACCAGAAATACAGCTGGACAGTGGTGTAAAGTTTTACATCAACTCAAGTACTATACTTAAGTACAATTCGGAGGTACTTGTACTTTACTTGAGTATTTCTATTTTATGCTACTTTGTAATTTTACTCCAATGCATTTATGTAGTACCTTTAGTTACTTTGAAGAAATGGATTTATGACAAAAAATATGTTCAAAACTTTAGTTACACCTGGATTAAATTCACATGCTACCAAGCTTTAATGAAGTAATTAATATTATTTCAAGCTTTACCAGTTTGATAAACACATTTATACATCAATGATTATAAATAAAATATGATATATAAATTCATCTGAAATGGTTCAACATGCATGAGGAGTACTTTTACTTTTGGTACTTTAAATATATTTTGATGACAATACTTTGGTACTTTTACCCGAGTAAGATTTCAATTTAGGACTTTTACTTGTAACAGAGTATTCCTACACTCTTCTGTGTACTTTTACTTAAGTATATTTCTCTGCAGCTTGCTATTCTCAATACATCTTATTTTTTATTATTTCTCCATGCAAAACCATTTCTAAAATGTGTCAATATCTAGAGTTTCTTTCACAATTTGTCAGGATAAGAAAATACACAAAACACAGCACTATACAGGACGCCACGAATTCCAGCACAAAGGCTACTAATAATAAAACACACACGCCCCATTTGGTGTCCCTGATGGCTCTGCAACATTATAGTAGCAAACAACAGCTGCCGTCAGAGGCTACAACGGCAGGGCTATTGCTGGAAGCTCCTCCAACAATATCTCTCACACTTCACAGGGAAGTAGATCAAACCCTGAAACATGTGACACAGAACAATGTCTGTTCACAGCGCTGAGAGAGAGTGAGTTAACACAGGCGCCATACGCACTGATGATAGTGAATAAATAGAGATATAACTGCATACTGGACGTGGACATGTGAGACATGTTTGGCTCTCTGACATTGTGCCGTGTGACACTTCTAATACTGCAGCTGACTGATGGTGGGGGTCATGTAAAGGACACAAAACAGTATGTGGTGGAGAGACAACAGTTTAGTTTATATAAGAGGGGAGAGTCTCTACTTCCAAATCTTAAAAGGCCTTCACTTTAAGGACAGAACGCTTTGTGTATAACAGGTACAGTATGTGTACTGTTTTGCTTTTAGTTTCATCAACAAAGTAACTAGCCATTACAATTAAGTAAGTAAGAGGGAACAGTTTACATTTGCTGAAATAAATTAATCACTTCACTTCTATATAGAAATGTTATTTATTGGGATAAACCCCTTGAGATGCACCATCTCGTTTTCAAGGGGGTCCCGAGACTTCTAGCTGTGACACTGCAACGAACACCAGAACTGGCAGAGACGTTTAACCTCTAATAGGATGATGCAGCATAATTCTATTTTCACTACAAGCTCATTGAAAACAGCTTACAATTAAATTTTTTCAGTGGCGGATGAATCCATTGGTGCTCTGCTGGGTATTTGTAGGTGCACAACAGTGTATGCATGTCAAAATAAACTGAAGTGTGTTCAATGAAGGAACGTGTCACCCACTGCAACAGGGGGGGGGGCTAAGTGATGTGTTTTTTATCTAATAGTTTTAGAAAGGAATAACATATACCAGGCTCTGAGAGACACACAATAATTATTAGTAGATCAGTTTTTTTTATTTAAATGGAATTTGTTGACAAGAGAAATATGCATTAACACCAGACTTCTCTTAGAATGTATGTTCTTCCTCATGTCTCTGCATCAGGCTGCATCACCTGCCATTTCAGATAGGATGTTAATCATGAGCCCAGTGTTCAGAGCCAAGACTCAATGTTCTTTTTAATCAAATGTCCCCATACTTGGAGACATTTCAGGATGACCACTGGAATTTTAAATAGAGTTATTTGGAGCAATGAAAAAAGCCTGGCAGCACCACAAAAGGCTGCAGCAGACAGGATTACTGAACATAGGACTTTCAGTGGATTAATTGTGAAGTGTAAGCCAGACAGGGCATCGGATCACTGCAGCAGGGTGTGTGGGAAGTAACTAAGTACATTTACTCAACTATTGTACTACTTTGACATGTTTGTACTTTAATAGAGTATTTGCATTTAAAAGCCTCTTTATAGGCATTTATTTTAACACTCAGTTACTTTGTACATAAACGCATATGCTGATATGGTGTGATGCAGTACTGTACTGCTAAACTACACAGTATGTAATAATACATTATATTTAAGGGCGCCTTTCATGACACCCAAGGACACCGTACATTACAAACTGCTCCAAATACAATACTATAATGCTCTTACATGTATAAAAACTGAATAATATAAGAAACATAATAGTATAATCCATTCTGCAACAAGTGCTTTTACTCTTGAAACATACTTAAATATTTCTGTACCTTAAATTATTCTGAAATGGGCCATTGTGCAGAATTAGTTTTTTGTGTACATTAAGTATATTTTGATGCTTATAGTTTTGTTAAGTAACATTTTGAAATCAGGATTTTTAATTGTAATAGAGTACTTTAAGACCATAGTATTTGTACTTAAGTAAAGGATCTGAGTTCTTCTTCCAACACTGGCACAGGTGCTGCAGCTTTTGCATAATTTAATAACCAGGTGAGGGCACTTTAATTCAGCCTCCTGTAGCAGTAACAATGAAGCTGGGCCCTGTGCAGAGGGGCTGAACCTCAGTGGGTTTTGTTGAGGGTATTCCCATATCCCAGTGTGAGGCCATTTTGTGATGCGCAGTGTGTGTTACTGAGGATGGATGAATGGAATGAGGGCGTTTCGTAATACTGTACACATTTCAACAACCAGTTGAGTCTTCTCAACCTATAGTGCCACTACCTATAAACATCACTATGTTGCAGACATTTGACGCACCGAGGCCGTGCATTGTCCTGATGGCGCACATCAGATAAAGGTTATCATGGCAGATGCACGAGCAGAACATTATGTAACAGACCGCTTTGATACAGAGGACATGTCAGTGTGCAGACTCAACACACGCTGCTCTCAAACTCACTCAATATGCATGAAGACAAAGCACTGGGTATTACTATAAATGGATAAAAGGAAGAAAAAGAGCACGCACACACACGCGCGCACACTCGCAGTCACTAGTTTTGTTACTGCAGCACAGAGCATCCCCTCCCACTGCTCTCATGTCAGCTGTGTGTGTGTGTGTGTGTGTGTGTGTGTGTGTGTGTGTGTGTGTGTACGTGCAGGACGTGCAGAACTGCGGCATCTTACTTTGGGGTCTTTCTCATAATAATGCTGCTGCGTCCGGATCCAGCGGCCCACCAGGAAGTCCCGGACGGTGTTGGCAAGGGCAAAGTAGTAGTCCCGTTTGGTGGCCACATTTCGGTCTTTCACCAGGGTGAAGTGGAGGTGCCTGTTGAAATTAGTCTTTAGGTCGGTGACGTTTTCCACTCCGGCCAGACCCCTTACAGAAATCTGCTTCCTCTTGTCCTGGTCTGTCAGCGGCTTGGCCATGCTTACTGCTAGTTTATGATTATTTTTTAAAGTTAAGTGTCACCCGAAATCCTGCCCACTCTTCTTCCGACTCTCCTCTGAACAATGCCAGCCGGTCAAGCTTGTTTTATATACGTCACGTACCCAGTGACAAGGTAGCGATTCCGGTCCAGGGTCTACAAAATAAAAGCCGAATGATTTGTAAGTGCGTCACACGCCTCAATGTTACGTATTTTCCTTTGCTAACAGTAATTAGTAAGTTATCATGTGTATATATGTTCAAGCTGTTGCTATTTTCAGCAAAACGAATCCTTAAAATGTAATGACTGCATGGTTGTCTGAAATTATTTTAGTCAATTAGGAAGTGTGCGACTAAAGCCAATAGCAACCTTTATATATAGTCTATGATAGCAACCGAGTGCTTTTATTTTCACGTCAAATTTGCTTTATTTCCGGTACTGATTAGGTTAACTTGCCGCATCTCAGCATCCTCGGGATACAAATCCTGCACAAACTGTTCTCATCTCCAATTATCATTGAGTTGAAAGTAAATTTAGGAACTATACCAAACATGTTTTAATAGGTCTTAAAATGTGAGGTTATTAAATCCATAGAAGCAAATAGAAGGAACTGAGAGGTGGACACTTAAAGATAGGGTCGGTAAATTTGAGAAACCGGCTCGAGATCGCTAGAATTTGAAAATACACAACCGGTGAAAATCTGCCACTTCCTTATAGAGCCCCTCCTCCAACACACACGAACGCACACATGACCAATGAGGGCACGAGATAAGTTTGTGCCCCGATGGAAGGCTGACAGGCAGGTAGGCCATCCAGTTATTTTAGCCGGGCCGGCTAAAATGATTGGTCGTACTTTTTACAGTATTACGGCTTCCACAGATGAAATTTTTTTATGGATTTGTTGTCAAAGCACTTAAGATATTCATTGCTATCGGGATGTTAAGAGCATTCCATGGAATATAACAAAAAGTGTATCTCGAGCCGGTTTCTCAAACTTACCTACCCTACCTTTAATATATGCTTTTAATTAATGTGACAAGTTGGTTAACGGTGGTTAAGTTTAAGAAAAAAATACTTCTTTGAAAAAAAGGTCCAACCTCTTTAACTTGGATGTTAATGTGTAGCCTTAAAACAATAATGTAATGGTGGAAAGGTCAGCTTAATATACTAGGGATCAGAATCTTTGTCAAGCAAATTACATTTTCTGTTGTCAAATTAGCCAAACTTGTATTAAATCTCTCACACACAAAAACAGTTATTCAAGGTCCACTTCTAGCTTTTCCAGGTCTTTGTTGCAGTGGGCAGTTTCCTCCGTTGTCATCAAGAGCTCTATATATAGGACTTAGGTCAGTGATAAGGTTGTATGTGGGGTAAATGACGATTGAACAAACTACATCCACTAAGGAAGACCATGTGATGCGGTTGAAAGAGAAATGTAAAGGGTTCTTTCAGTTAGGATACATTGTCAAACAAGAAGTTCCACATTAGGTCATGTAATACACACCCCAAGAAAAGCAGAACTGGAGTTCAATTTTGTTTGTCAAATGCAAACCCAATACGGCTCTCCAACATGGTAAAACTAATTCATCTCTTGTTGATATATTTGTCTTCAGAATAACAGAAGTTTGTTGCTCATGTGCTTCAAAATAGGGTCGAAAGGGTAGAAATTCCTCATAGGTGTACAAATGTATAAAAGTGGTGGTACTCCAAGTGTAGACTTTCTGGAGTTGAGAGGCAGTGGGCAACATGGACAATGCCTGGTTATGTAACACATTTGAATGAGGCAGCCAGCAGGGTGACAGCCTCTTGGCAAGCATTCTGACACAAAGGGTCTTACATCCATGAAAGGAAAAACCAGTCTGTGCTCAATGACAAAAAGGTGAAATGGATCAATTTAATGATAAACCAAGCAAGATTTCAACAGCTTTTCATTCAGGCTAGTGCCAGAAACACAAAAGACTGATTCCAGAAAAACAGAGTAAAACTAACATTTTTCTTCTCTAATAACTCGAGGGACAAAACTGATGTTTTTGTCCTTGCAGAAGCAACACAAACACTGCACACAGCTTCTTATCAGAGCAAGAGATGAAGAAAAACAAGGATATATCAGATTCTCAGCATTCAATGCTGAGAATAGTGCAGGGGTCAGAAGCTGCAGTATTTAGTCCCCCATTTCAAACTCAATGTCAAAACTGAGAAGCAGGCAAGTAAAGAAAAAACAATTAAAACCCTGGGAGTTTCTGGAAAAACAATCTGAGACAGTTACTACAAAAAGGTCATCTGACAGAACAAAGATACACTTCACATCTCGTTATTACAAAAATATTATTCTTATTCAACTCAAAGCCAACATGAGTAACATGACAGTATACATTTCAGAGTGATGTGTTTACAATGTGTCATGCAACTTCAATATATTAAATCCAATGATAGAGCAGGGTCTGAATTGAACATTTGAAGCGTTGTATTAACTTCCGTCTGGCTATTTGAGCAGTTTATTTGGTTATACAAGAGTTGTGACAAACTATGGGAGCAATGCAGAACGTGCTCGAGAGCAACAGTGTTTTTGTATGCACACAAGGGGCTTTATGTCAACACAAACTTTAAAAACGGGAAAAATAAGTCATTTACTAAAGTTACTCAACTTTACAAATGTAACGAACACAACCTTTCTTTGTTTCAGAGATGCCTTCACAATATCCAGGATCAATAAAAAATAAAGCACTGGTTATACTTTTTTCTGTGGGCGCACATCCACAATGTGCTGCAAGGAAATTCTTGTGGGAGGACGATTCTTCTGTGGCAGGGTTAATTCTGGGGGGGAGGAGGTGGGGGGGCAGGAGGCATGCCAAAGGGAGGCATGCCTGGTACCCCCATCCCCATCATGGTGACAAAGTTGGAAGGGTCCATTGGTGGCGGCGGTGGTGGGGGGGCGTACATCATTCCAGTTGAGCCTGGAGGCGGTGGGGGGGGAGGTGGAGGGGCGCCCGGGGGCAACGGGGGCTGGACGCCTGGGGGAGGCGGCACCATGGAGGGGGTTCCTATGGGTGGGGGGGGCTGGGCTCCGGAGGTTGCTGGCTGCTGGGGCTGCTGCCATGGAGGCAGGGTGCCGGTGCCAGGGCTGGACGTGGTGGTGGTATCTGCAGGGGGGGGGGGAGGGCAAGGGATGGTTAACTCTTTAAAGCCATCAAAATGTTCACTTTGTCATCTCACACTACAACACACACCTCATTAACACTGCATGGCTAAGCACGACTCACTTCTGATACCAGGTCCCATTTTGTTCCCCACTGCAAATAAGACCCTCTCAATGAGGGTGGGACTTCCAGTGAGTCGTACCATGCATTGGAAACTTGGCAACACACAACAAATGATACACTCATTGATCAATTAATATCGTGATATGTGGCTCCATTGTTTATAAGCTATCATGCTCATGTCTGCAGAAAACAGTGAACACTGCATTACTGGACACATGTGAATGCTGATGCCATCTAATTTGGGCAAAGAAGGTTTTTTCAGTCATGTGCAAAAAGATGAGCCAAATAGTATATATAATATCTGAATATTAGAACTGTGTTTGAAGTAGAGAAATATGGAATGGTTTCAATTTCAACGTGGTCTTACTCTGTTGCCAGGGTAGCTGCGTACTTGTTGCCATGCTGCTCGTTGGAGGGGGAGGTGGAGCCTGCTGTTGCCATGGTGGCAGAGGTCCAGAAGGAGGGGGAGGTGGCTGGTTGCTGGGGGGAGGAGGTGGGGGTGGCATCATGCCCATTGGAGGTGGCAGCAGACCTGCAATGAAACCAAAAGACAAACATTTATATCCTAGAATTTTTGTTTATTCTCATTTGAACACAACACACAGACTTTTGTTATCATTTATAAAGATGTTGATATTAAAAGCCAATAGACTTTATTAAAAAGCAGCTCTCCTTTGTGGAATTTCCAGACTGTCCAGGGCTGTGAGTTATGATGTTGTCTCAGGAACATAAGCTACTAAAGTAAAACCCATTTCCTGCCGCCCCTTAACATCATTTACCAACAGTCAGCTCTCTGGAGCTCCATTTTGACTGGATTTATTTCTCTAGAGGAGTCACCTGCGTTATTCAGTCATATAAATCCCATTTGAAGCATAGAGGTGGGTTATTTTTCTCCCAAACCTCAGTAATAGCCACAATAACCTGATATTTAGCTGATTCCTTGTTATCTAAATCTTCCCAGGAGTCATATCTATACTGATTGTGAAATGAGAAAAAAAAGGTAACGCCGTTAGGAGCCATGGAAGCATATCAAATGGTCTGATGTAATGTCAGCCAAAGGTGGTATTCTGTTTTTGAGCCTCTATGCTTTTACGATTTAACTTCCTGGCTGGTAGTGGCTCCTGATTGCAATGTACAAACAACTATCCCCTGATTACTGATTGCTCTTTAAGCATCTTTGATTTCCAAGTGAAGTTCTGATGGAGTAATGACTCTTTGAACCAAGAAGAATAATTCACTGTGACTCCCCTCAGGGAGGCTTGTGGCTTTACTTTGTGGTTCCTGTGGCTGTCCATGTTTTTATTCCCCACATTCCCCTATTGGGTTAATTTCATCCAACTAGAACTTGAGACAAGTTAAAAACTCCCCAACCTCATAAATGTCCACTCTTACCCATGGGATGTCCGTGACCCTGGCCCATGGGAGGCGGGGGAGGCTGCATCCAGGGGGGAGGCATGCCGTTGGGGTTTGGGGGCATTGGGGGGCCTCCCATGCTGGGCATTGGTGGAGGGTAGTGTTGGGGTCCTCCATGGCCACCATGGCCACCATGGCCACCATGGCCTACGTGACCTCCGTGACCTCCGTGACCTCCGTGCATGCCGTGGTAGTTCCTGTTTTCCGACGGACCGGAGTTCATCCAGGGAGGCCGGTTCTGCTGTAAACAAACACAGCAGGTTTAGACACTGTTCTGGAGAAACAGGACTTTGGAACCATGTGTGTTGCCAACTCACCGGTGGTGGCTGGTTGTTGTTTTGCCCTGAGGACCGAGGTCCTCCTCCATGGTTGTTGGAGTGTCCTCCACCTGATGAGGGGACCGGAGCCTCTCCTAGCTCAGCCATCAG